ATCGGAACAGACCCACCTGGGTCCTGGAATTATATGCAATCACCATGTCGGTTGTGTACTGAAATCACTGATAACTAGAATTTGAACCAAAGATTTTCCAACACTATCCTCCACCACAAAATAATGTTGGGTCTTCATATCCCCAAGTTATGAATAATGTGGCTTCATTTAAAACATATTTCTCACATTGATTAGAGTATACATCAAAAGTGAATTTGTGATAAGGATGAACAGCAGTTGATGTGAAATCATCTGAATTGTAATCAGAATCGAGCTCATTTAATACTCGTGCTTCGTATTGAACAAGTTTCCCACAAGAAAAGAATGCATTATGAAAACAAATAATATCTGATGACATCAAGATTTGATTCTTCTGAAATACTTCCCTCAAATTTATTAAGATTGTCACTGCAGAGTAAAGGATCATTAGAAAAATCAGCATCTATCAATCTTACATCAGATTTTCGATCATAACTAGGTTCATTCAACATATTTTCCTCAGATTTTTAAGGAATTTTGTCAGAAATAAGTGAGTCATTAGGAAAAACCATATCTGGTACAATAAAATGAGAAAACTGATAAGTCGATTGATTAGAAACTGTTTTCTCGCAAGGATTCTGAGTCTCATTTAACTCTGAACTGCTATATGACTCTACACTGTCTTTTGAAATCGTTGATAAGAATAAATAATCATTAGGAACACTGAACTTAATAGAATTACAAAACCTAATATTCGTTGCAGCAAGATGAACAGCAGTATTACAAACTGACTGAATATGTCCTATATCATCACATTTAAAGCACTTAGAATTACGAAATTTACATGAATTAAAAGAGTGGAACTTGCCACAGAACAAACATTAACCAAACTTGTGCCCATCGTTAGTTCACGTAAACACCACACTAACACTTAATGAATTCTACAAATAAACCATTTTGCATTTATGAATATATTCATTTGTTCCCTGTTACACTTTTTTTTTCATATTTTATCATAGTTATGATACAGTTTCACGTGGATCATCTCGTGCTAATTCTCGAGCAACAAGTGTTTCAAATGGTCGAACTTCTAAAGAACCATAATATCAATCAATTATAAACAAAGATAAATGTTTACAAGACAATATAAATTACATTAACTATGTATTCATATAAGATATTTGTTTGTGTATTTTTAGTCATCTAATATATTTTGACCTATACACATAATTTTGATCTTGTTTCCATAACAACAGTTCATGTTATCGATGATGATCATGAGAATGACTAGGATTAAACTGCTTCTAGATTTAACCTTTTTTTTTCAAAATAAACGATTGTATGTAACATGACAAACAATTATGCAATTAGAAATCTTCAACATTTCGAAAGTTTCGTATTCACATCTATATCGACTTCATGAAGATTATGTACTTGTTTGTCTATATATTAATTTCTGTTAAAACTTGATTAAACTTGATGTATGAAAAATATAATATTCGTATCTTTTACTTTGTCTAATATAAATCAATTTTTTGTTGCTGTACACATCCCCCTTTAAGTATTAACTATTATGAATACTACTACTGGTACTACTACTACTACTACTGCCACTGATACCAATGCTACCCCTATTGCTACCATTTTATCTAATTATCACTTAATGATAAGTTCATTTATTAGTTTACAACAATCTATGTGTAAGAATATCCCTTTTTTGAGTATATCACATTTCATTAAAAATACCCTGATTCCCCTCTTCCACCTCCCCCTCCCCAAAAAAATTTATTTCATTCATCCTTTTATAACTTATTAATTTAGATAATGTTATTTTAAAGAGAGAAACGAATGCAACTCTACCAAAAAAAAGGAAAAGATTCTTGTATTTCCAATGAAAAACACATTACGATTAGTTTCATTTATAACTAAGTAACTATAATCAGAATATTTATCAAGTTTATCCATGAATTTGTTTGTTATTCTTTCCTCTTTAACTTTTATTGGTAATTATTACACATCCTTATATACTACTGATTTGAATTACTTAATTAACCAATTAATGAAATGTTTAAATAAATCACTTGATAATTAATTGACTATTTACTTTTTCATTCAGACCAATTTGGTAGACAAAGTAAGTGTTCATGTTTACAGATGATTGTAGTGTTCTCTAAGCTGACTAGTTTAATTGTGATCATTGTAAATCATTTAGTGTTTATCAGTAATCATTCATTGTAACATTTTGTCGTTTCTGCTTTACTCAATTATTTACCATCCTGTTGGACAGTTGATTCATGAGTTTGTATGTAATACTTGTTAGTAGAATATGCTAAGCGTTTCGTATATCCCGACAGCGGAAAACGTGTTATAGTTCTGAAGAAGCAACTACCTCATATGATTTTGAGATGGTGGAGAAGATTTGTAGCTCAGGTGGATGATTTTGATGGAGTTTTGTTCTCTGAGCTGGATGGTTTGGTCGTGGAGCTTTCATCGTTCTTCTGAACGACATCATCAGCACAAACTTCAGATTGAAGTTTGTGCTGATGATGTCGTTCAGAAGAACGATGAAAGCTCCACGACCAAACCATCCAGCTCAGAGAACAAAACTCCATCAAAAGCAACTACCTCCCCCCCCTCCAAATCCTTATTCTGAGCAACAAATATTCTTAATTATCTCGACATGAAAGCCTGATTGGGTAAATAATTTTCAGAAAGTTACAATCTATCTATGTTATTAAAGTTATTTTAATTGAATTAATCGAAAGCCTATTACTTGTAATGTAATGGAGTGAATAAATCAAACTCCAAAATAGTTCACAAATTAATCAAAGATATTTTTAAGTGTATTATTTGAACAATCAATCTACTATAAATAATTTTCGTACTGAAACTATATTGTACTATCATATTCTTCGAGTAGATTCTTAAAGTAAATTTACGGAATAATCCCGATTAGAGTTATACATTAGATTAAATACTCGTCATGATTAGTTAGGAAAATAGGAAAGTATAAAATTGCAAATCTGTAAGACGAATTTGAAGTGAACGGCACTGGGTTCGAGTCTCAGAGTGAATATCAACTCTGAGATGCAGGTACATCCAGCTGACAAATTCCAAATAGGACGAAACGTGAGTCAAACTGGATTTCACTGCTAGCCACTATACATCAAATTTCAATTATTTAGAAATATTGTCAATTTTTCTATTGGTTTTTATCATTTAAAATAAAAACATGATACATACTACTTATCATTTATGAGATGAAAAGATACTCTTCTTTCTCATTTGATTAAAACTTACAAGGCCTTCACACTTTCAATATATTAGTATATCAGGAATAGGTGCTTCAAAAATGAATTACTTACCTATTCTGGCGTATGGTTATATAGTGTATTTATTGAAATTCTTTAACTAATCATATCAGTCATCTGAAAGCAGAGTAGACTAGCTTGTTTGATGACGTTGAGATTACTATATTACTAATCACTGTTCAAAAGAATGATTAGTCGAAATATCCCGTTCTTAAAAATATTCTATGCAATTCTGCCCTATGCTGTAAAAGACTTGTCTTTTCGAGGTGAGGATGTCCAGCGAATCTATGTGCCTTATCTGCGTTGCATGAAATTTTGACTTAGTATGACTTTGATTCAGTTATCGATGAATATTGAGCTTGGAGTGAACTTATTACTTTTTTCCTTATAAAGACCTTTAAACTGACCTATTACTCTCTATAATAATCGAATGATCCGATCAGTGCTTTGTCAACAGATTGCCGTAGAAATTCTCAGCCTAAGATTGGTATAGATTACACAAGCTGATGAATTTACAATGAACACTAGTTCTCAAAACTGACAAAAGTCTAAACTAGACGACACGACACCATATAACACTGGCTTTCATATTATTGCTCGGATATTGAAATGATACCATCTTTAATTAAAGCGTTACATCATGGTTGGCTTAAATCTCCCTATGAGGGTGAACATAAATCTCCGAATTCGTAGATTAGGAAAAACTTTACTAACTCAAAGCACACCAGATAATATATGGGTATTCAGTGAAACTACCAGTGACGGAATATTTTGTCATTTGCCCTGACATGACCGAGAATTAGGAAAGTCCAGCCATATTTCCATTTTGTGTCCGGTCCTATTCTGCAACTCAGTGGCTTGAATCTGTCTCATTAAAATTTCCAGTTCATTGGATGGTCGGTTTGATGAATGGTGTCATCGAGTACGGAATCTGTCATATCTTTTCAAAAGCCATGCCTGGCACCCAAGCTTGCCTCCGCCAGCATTTGAATTTCCATGCAAAACGGACAATACAAAGTTTTGACCGTTTCATGGTACTAATATATACTGTACATTATAGACAGATATCCAAGCACAACTTCGTTCTCCATCTCTCCGTTCGAAGATTATTTCATGTGCGCTGATCCGGAACCATGTAGCACAGACATCCAATTTCTTTAGCGTCGGTGTCTCACTACGGAGCAAAGCATAGGGAGAATTGATTTGTCCTTATTAATAGTTTTCCACATACTTTCTCACTAAAACGCATAGCCAGTGATAAGGAACCGGTGTGGGGAATGATGTCTTTTTGTAATCTCCAGCAACTCGCGAACAGACTGTAGCACGCATGTAATCAAAGTAGGGTCCTAACATCAAGTCAACAATCTCAATAGATGGTGGTAACCGGTGTGGATGCGCAGATCGAGTGTTTAGGCGCAGAGGAGGATGGCTTGGGTAAAGACATTATGATAGCTCTAGATTTGTCATTTGAAAAATGTATCTAAGTTTACTAACGTCTTTAAAGATGAACTTGTGGTGGTCCCCAAACAAAAGGAGCTTACTCAAAATATTTTGATACTCTAGGTTAACACTGATATACCAAAACGAATTAATGATTAAGAAACCTAGATGTCTGTCCGTTAGTAAAAACAAAGGTAATAAAATACCGTTAACAATACAAAAGGTATATTAAACAAACAGACGCTAACAGTTACTATAGAATGAATGTTACTTGTTAACTGCCTCGTGAGGACAACGACCACAAACTAAGTTCACTTGGTTGACAGGTGTTCCTCTGCAAGCGACTGCACCAAAGACGTAATGAGGAAGACGGAGTCCAATAGTATTATACAATAGTAATCCGTGCCAAAAGTCCAACGTTGAGTCGGAAGGCCTATAAGGATGTTATAATACTATTATAGTCTTCAATCAAAACGGTGGCCAATAAAACAGAAGAACAAACGGCGTAGACAGTGTTCTATATTTTAAACAACCCGGTAGTAGAAGTGTATACCAATCATCGAAACAATTATTATCGTCTTTTTAACAAGTGATACAGCAAAACAACAGATATTGGATAAAGATGTGGTTACAAATAAAGTGTGACAAATTAGAGAAAAAATGTGGTTTTTATTTTTGTTGTTACAAAAATCACTGAATATATGTCACCATATAACTCCCCCCCTAGGGCATGCGTCGGTGGAAGTATGCCCGACGTAAAACTTTAAATGCTTTGAAGGTAGGAGAAAATTACACAACGAAAAGGGTAAACAAATATTATTTTTTTTAAAAAAATCATACGTGTATATATATTCAAGAACAAAATGTTTCTCTTGTAGTAAAGAGACTTTAATGTATATAAAATGTTTAACAAGAATAACGAAGTGTATAATAATAATAACAATAATAATAATAATAGTATCATTAGTAATAACAGTAATTAAATTGAGAGTTCACCGAAGTGCAAATAAATGTATAAATTGTGTAAACAATTAGTGATAAACTGAACGAGTCCAACGAAATTGGATATATTTGCACAATTAATATTAAACATCATATGAAACGCATACACATGTAGAGAAAAACATAATGAATTTATCAATATTAGTAGTACACAAAAAATTTTTTTTTTTAAATGCTTGCAAAAATAATGTTATTAGTAACTCTGCTAATATAGATATTTAATCACATTACAGGTAATGACAGAATAAAGGTTAAGTAATTAATTCAACATAACGTTTAGGAAAATGTACATGTCTTCCTGAACGAGTTGTTTTCGTAGAAGGTAAAGTGTCGGAACTAGGATTTAAGTTTATGGGAACTGTAACCTTAGAACCGTCTGTTTTACGAAATATTGATTTCGTCGGAGTTGGCGAAGAATTATTTGGAGACACTGGGAGCTGCGTTGTGTGATCTCTGCTGTCTTTAGACGGCTTTCGGTTGTCATGTGTTTCAGACTCTATAAAAGCAGGTTTTATCCGGTCGATTGAAACTGTTTCTTTTTTTCCGTTCTTATTGATTGTGAAATATTTTGTTTGCCTCTCAACTACTTCATATGGTCCTTCATAAGGATGTTGTAGAGGGCGTCTTACTGAGTCAACACGAACAAATACAAATTTACACGTATTTAGATGCTTGCTAACTTGCTCTTTTAAGACAACTGGCCGAGGTGCAACAGGCTTAATGTTATTCATATGGCTCATAAGTCTTTCGCAAAAAGAAGTGGGATCCGTACATACGGGTTTGCCATTATGCGTCACTAGCTGCCCCGGTAAGGTTAAATTAGTTCCATAGACGAGCTGTGCAGGAGTACATTGTAGGTCTTCTTTAATTGTGGAACGTATGCTTAGTAAAATAAGAGGTAGAGATTCACTCCATCTAGAAACATCAGGTTGTACCATCAATGAGCTTTTTAGTTGTCTGTGGAATCGTTCCACTAGTCCATTCGCTGCTGGATGGTATGCTGTTGTAGTGATGTGATGGATTCCTAAAATGCGGGTGAATTCATTGAAGAGGTGAGATTGGAACTGTGAACCTCTGTCCGAAGTAACTGTAGAAGGTACACCAAAATTAGCGATCCATCTGTCGAGGAATACAGCAGCAACATTTTCCGCGGAGATATCTTTTATTGGGCATGCAATTGGCCATCTAGTAAAACGGTCCACTGCAGTAAAAATGTAAGTGAATCCGTTAGATGGAGGAAGAGGACCAACTAAATCAACATGAACATGTTGAAAACGATGGTCGGGTAGACTAAATGCTGACGGTGTTGTAATCGTATGTCTATGTATTTTACTGCGCTGACACTGTACACAAGTCCTGGTCCATTTTTTTATATTTGCATTCATCTTTGGCCAAACAAATCTTTCAGCAATCAGTTTCACAGTAGCACGAATCCCTGGATGGGATAGTGAGTGAAGACAATCAAAAACTCTTTTTCTGTACACTATTGGCACAAAAGGTCTGTGAGTTCCAGTAGAAGTATCACAAATGATAGTAGAGTCAGAATGCGGTATAGGAACACTTTTTAAGGACAAGCTCGAACTTTGTTTACAAGCATCAAGGTCGGGATCATCTGTCTGCAAACGTGCCATGTCTGATAAATCGATTCCTTTGGTGAAGGAAATTGCATCGACGTTGAAACGTGACAAAGTATCCGCAACAACATTTGAATCACCTTTTGTATCCAAAGGTTTAATTCCACGTTTGTCGATCAAGTGACCTAAAAACTCTAAACTCTCAACTCCGAAAATACATTTGGATGGATTAATCACTATGCCATATTTCTGAAATCTTTCGAATAATTGATGTAGGTGATCAGCGTGTTCATGGATCGAACTGCTAGCTATTAAGACATCATCAATATACACGAAAACAAAATCTAGGCCTTTAGTGACCTCATCCATAAATCGTTGAAATGTTTGTGCGGCGTTCTTTAATCCAAAAGGCATTCTTAAGAATTCAAACAAACCAAATGGAGTAATGATGGCTGTTTTTGCTATGTCCTCGGATGCTACTGGAATCTGGTGGTACGCTCGCACAAGATCAATTTTAGAAAAAATTTGCTTGCCATGTAAAGTGAGAGAAAAATCATGTAAATGAGGGATTGGGTAGCGATCCGGTAATGTGAGGTTGTTCAATGATCTATAATCACCACAAGGTCGCCAATCTTGGTCTCGCTTGGGCACCATGTGGAGTGGGGATGCCCAGGGGCTACTTGACGGACGTATTATACCTAGCTGCATCATATGATCAAACTCAGCTTTTGCAACATTCAGTTTGTCTGGCGGTAATCGGCGTGGACGTGCCGAAGTTGGTTGACCTTTTGTGATGATCCGGTGTACTACAGAATGTTTGACAGTGTTTTCACTGTAGTCTGGTTTCGTTATTTTGGGAAATTTAGATAGAATGGTGGCGAATATGTCGTTCCCTGGAGTGTCAATTTTAATACTATGTATGTGGTAGTCCGACTGAATTCCCTGGATTTGAAGGTTCGTGCAGGAATCAATAAGTTTTCTTCTCTTAACGTCAACTAGTAGGTTGTAGAAACTGAGAAAATCTGCACCTAGTATAGGGTGACGGACATCCGCAATAATAAATACCCAGGTTAAATTACGTCTAATTCCCAAGTCTAATGTTAGAAATTGTTCGCCAAATGTCTTTATTTCGGTTTTATTAGCTGCCCTTAGGGTATATTTTCCACTCTTAGCAATAGGTTTATTGGCTAAGGTAACTGGGATGACACTAACTTCAGCTCCAGTATCTACTAAGAATTTGTACCCTGAAGTTTTATCAAGAACGTGGAAAAGACGAGTAGGCGCACGACCAGAAACATTTGTCGCTACCATGGTTTGGTTGACACGTTTTGGTGAGGAAAATGACTTGAAAAATTTACAAGACGTAACACATTTCCTAGCTTTGTCGCCATATTTTTTATGGTACCAACATATGTTGTCGTCGTTTTTGTTTCCTTTTGAGTTATCTCGATTCTTACTCCCTCGAGAACTAGAGCGAGATCTTGTAGATGTGAAGTTGGAGATTAATAATTGTAATGCATCCAGTTTATTTTCAAGAGTGGCGACAGTTCGTTCATGTTGTGCTCGTAGTTCGCCTAGTTCAGCAGTTAACGATGCTATGGTGGGAGTTTGCTTATCGTTCGAAGTTTCTAATATTGCCTGTACGTAAGGTGTAGTACAAGGTGTAACTTCTAAAATTTTATCCGCCATGCTGGCAAGACTTTCTAAATCTGATGGTTGGCTAGAGGCGCAAAGAATTTGCCTAACTACTGTTGGCAAACGTTGTAGCCAAATTTCCTTGAAGAAGGCGTCATCAAATTTATAAGGGCCAGCTAATTGTCTCATGTGTCGTAATAATTGAGACGGTGATTTGTCGCCTAGCTCACATTCGTGTAGTAATTGCTGTAATCTCTTTTCATCAGATAATGAGGTACGTTGAATAATTGCCTGCTTCAATTGATCATATGGATTAGGTGCAGGAATATTATCTATCAAATCTGACACCTCAGATGCAACTTCAGTGGGTAGTAATCCAAGCACAAAAGAGTATTTAGATGCCTGTGAGCGTATGTTGCGACGCTGAAATTGTACTTCTACTTGCGCAAACCAAATGCGAGAATTTAATCGGCTGAATGGGGGCACATTTATCAAATTTAGAGCATGTAGCTCTGCTGAAATGTTATCCTGGCTAATGCCTTCAGTTTCGGATGAGTACATTACGAATATAAGAAAATTTAAATACTACCAAGGGAAAAATAACGCCGTAATGTCTGTAAGTGAACTCAAAAGTAGTTGCGAGAGAAAAAAAAAATTTTACGGGCTCACCAAATTTGTGGTGGTCCCCAAACAAAAGGAGCTTACTCAAAATATTTTGATACTCTAGGTTAACACTGATATACCAAAACGAATTAATGATTAAGAAACCTAGATGTCTGTCCGTTAGTAAAAACAAAGGTAATAAAATACCGTTAACAATACAAAAGGTATATTAAACAAACAGACGCTAACAGTTACTATAGAATGAATGTTACTTGTTAACTGCCTCGTGAGGACAACGACCACAAACTAAGTTCACTTGGTTGACAGGTGTTCCTCTGCAAGCGACTGCACCAAAGACGTAATGAGGAAGACGGAGTCCAATAGTATTATACAATAGTAATCCGTGCCAAAAGTCCAACGTTGAGTCGGAAGGCCTATAAGGATGTTATAATACTATTATAGTCTTCAATCAAAACGGTGGCCAATAAAACAGAAGAACAAACGGCGTAGACAGTGTTCTATATTTTAAACAACCCGGTAGTAGAAGTGTATACCAATCATCGAAACAATTATTATCGTCTTTTTAACAAGTGATACAGCAAAACAACAGATATTGGATAAAGATGTGGTTACAAATAAAGTGTGACAAATTAGAGAAAAAATGTGGTTTTTATTTTTGTTGTTACAAAAATCACTGAATATATGTCACCATAAACTTTGCCATTGATAACATTCTGGAAACAGCTCTGATCGAAATAAGTACTAGTGGTGTGAACCTGCTACGCGGAGAAAGACTTTTCGGTCTCAAATATGCAAATAATATTGTCTTGATGTGCAGTGATACACAAACTTTCTAGATCCCACTTATTAAGTTAGGAATGTCTCTAAGTATGGCGTGTTTTGTACCTTCTAGAAATAGAACACTTCCACAAGACTTGGCAGGAACCTGTGCTTGCAATCACTGCTTTTGGTGAGTTATCATTAGTCGAAAAGTTCGCATCCAGGGAAGCTGAGTTTTGGTGGAGTTACAATCGATAAAATCAATCTACGATTAGCGAAAATCAGAACGACCTACACCCAATTGTCCTGTCTTGATATTAGTTTGAATCTATAAGGTCGAGTTTACAATGAGTTAGTGAGAGCGATTCTGCTCTTTGCTTACAAAACATGGCTTTCCAAAGTTGAGGAGCTTCAGTGATTTCGTGTTCGACAGTCATTGTCTCCGAAGGATTGCTGACATCCAGTAGCAACTTTATATTAGTAGTACAGAAGTTCGACAGTGCGTATTCAAGTGTAGTGACGATGATCCAACTAGTCTCATCATCTTGAAACAGCTGCTTCGTAGCTTGGACGTATCTTACAAATGTCATCTCTCAAATTCTAATCTTCTGAATTCTTCATGTCCCTTTTTTCCTCTTTCCAAATTTATTTCACTGGATTATACTCTTTAAATAACATCTCCAAACCCTAATCTTCCCGATTACTGCTTATACTCTTATTACCTCTACCACTACGGGATTTAAATCGACAACTGCATCTCTGTGCTAATGTGGTGTGGCAACTCGAACTGATGTACGTACGTACGAAGTTCTATGTTGTTACTGACTGACTGACATCCTGGCAGATCCCACATCGTGGATTAGTTACTAATGCTCAGACAGAATGGATAAATCAGTCATACTCAACATGTGTACATTGATTCACGTTGTCACACTGCAGTTAGTACAGTGAACTGAAAGCATCAGGAATAATTCAAAAGTAGTAGATATAGCACCAATATTAATGGTAATCGAAAAGACTAAGCATTGAAGATACGATTTGAAAATAAAATCCAAATTAATGAAATAATGAATGCACCTATACCATTGAGGATGATTTTAAGCCATATCACCTAAAGTCTATAATCATTAGTTACGATAATCAAGCGAACATCAACCAGATAGTCTGCAACTATGTACACAGTTCACAATCGAACAATTCGTGTCCTCATGGAATGCTATCGCTTTTCGATTTGATGCTCTATTATACCACAATTTACACGTTATAAGTAAATAAATAAAATTAACAAATAAATAACTTCAGCCAATCCACGAAATTGCGCCACCGTCAACCATTGTCTTCAGTAAGTCACTATCTCACAACAGACTTAGTTGAACTCCACTGGTCATGACTTCTCACTAGAACTCCAGAAAATACCTCTTGAAACCGCGAGGCGGGATTGTGGATGCGCACTGCTAAGGAGTCTCATACTAGGACGAAACGACCGTCCAGTACTTCCAGGTTTTCCATAGTGGTCTAGCTTTAATTGACTCATGAATTCAACTATTTAATTACTAAAATCTCCATAAAACCCCCTTCTGAAAATAAATAACTCAACTGTTACAAATTGGTATTACAAAAAATACATAACAATATTCTTTAAAATTTCTAAGAAATTATCACTAACTAATTATCCTTTTTTGAGAACTTATTTAAAGAAACCCAAAACAAATATAGAACAATGTAAATAAGAGAACAGACTCAACGATGAATACATGTATTTATGCGTATGTGTGTGCATATGTGTGTGTGTATATATATAAGTTAAAAACAAGTAACATAAGCCAAAAGATGAAACACTTTACATAGAATGATATGGATGCAAACCAAAGAAGGAAAAAAACGGCGAGAAACTCTGGAAAGAGAATTCTATTCACAGAGAAACAACATTCTGAACAAAATGCATAAAGTTAAGAAAAAAAATATACAATAATCGTTGGATTACAGGGGAAAACAAAGGAAGCAGAATCTGGAATGACAACAACAGCAGCAACAAAGAAAACACGATAAACATTTACAGGAACTGGACAACTAGTTGTTTTTTATTATTATTTATAAATGAAGTATTTACATAAATGTATGTCAAAAAAATATTAAAGTATGATAATTGGAGCCATTGATGCTAATTGATTCAAATTCAAGTGTTGTCCATGGGTTTCTATTAATGTGGCTACCATACTTGGAGTTTTATTTAATAAACACTCAGCGATACCTTCATAATCACGTCCTAATTTACCGATAGCATGACAAGCGAGTTGTATATCCACTGGACTCCAATACGGATCCTATAAAACATATATATATTTCAAAAGAACCAACTAAAAGGTAACGATCATAACAAACCAATTATTTACAATTGATTTGAGTATTTATTTATTTAGACACATAAACATTGGTACAAGAAAGCACTAAATAGATATGCGCCACGTAAATCATTCGATGTGTGTGAGAAGCAGGATACTACCTGGCTGCCCAAACCGAAACAGGTGGTTTCCTTAGGAGACCACCCGGGGCCTTCAACCTAGAGGTCTGATCCATAAGGCAGTGGAGCAACGTCAGGAGATGCAGTCCCATGGTAGCAGGTGACCAATAATTGGTTCATACTCCATTCTTTCTTCAGGATCCTGGAGCCCGTGTGCAACATTGGTTTGGAATCAGGGTTCTCCAACTCTCCTAGGTGGATCCTTCATATCCACCAACCCGGTTAAAGCGTTGGATATTCACTTTCTTTCCTCTCAATTTTGTAAACAACAGTAATGCCATGAGAAAGCAGTGAGTAGGACTTCCCTGGCAGTGGTTGTAGGTTCGTGGCCACTTGAGAGAATTTCGAGAGGAAGAGCTGACTCTCCCCACTCTCGGCCGTACCAGAAAATTTGGGGGAAACGTCATCGTTTATTTAATTCTTAACGCTGACCGAATTCAATCGATTTGGTTTCGACAGAATTAATACTGGTTACTAGTTAATGATGAAGCAATTTAAATAACACAATCCTACAAGAGGTCCGTTGAAGACTAAATAACTCATTGACCCGTGTTCGAATCTCATAAAAGCATCAGTTTCTTCACAATTTCAAGTACATCTCGCTGATAGGAGACAACTAAGACGAAAACTAGGTTAAGCACAGTTATCTATTGACTACCTCTAACCACCTAACATACAATAATTATCTATAATGACTAATGATTTACACTGTTTTAGTTATGAATTGTCAAAATATGTTAAAATTCAATTAATATTGTCTAGTGAATATTATTGATCAGGTAATAGTATTACATGGTCAGTTAACTTTGCATAACTCGACATCATGGTTCAGCTTGTTAGACATTGGATAGTTGGTTGAAAATAATCATTGAAGAAATTGATAATTAGGTCAATAGTGACTTAAAACAACCCAGTTGTAATGTATTCCACTGAGTTACTGAATGATACATAACTAAATCTCCGAGTAACCGTTCATGTTTACAGGTAGTTAGGATGAAACAGATGTTATCAGTGAGGATATTAACCTTTGGTTCAGAAGATAATCTGACCGTCTATTGCAACTCATTTCCATAGTTACATTTGATGCAGAAGTTCATATACGATTGGTTTCATATATCAAGACTAATATTTAAAAAACATTACCAGATGTTTGCATCTTCTCAAATTTCCATGACTTTCATGTAACATAATCAATAAACACAGACTTTTTATAGGTCCATGACTGATGAAGCTAACTAGCTAGATGGCGAGACTCTGACAATTAAATACTAAAACAACTACTACAAGGTATAGGTAAATTATGAAAAAAATCTGAGATTTCACAGTTGACATCACGGAGTGAACTTAGTCAACCGTTGGAAATCAGGAAGCACTGGACAGCTGTTTAGTCCCGGCACGGGATTCTTCAGAAGTGCACATCCGCAACCCCACTGGGGATAGAACTTTGGACATTCAATGGTTATTTAATTAAGACCAGTCTCCGATGTTAACTATAAACTTCAACAATCTCCATAAACCACTTATGTAATTATTAATAAACTGAAGGGCAGAGATTCGGATGTCTGATCATACACTAATGTGAGTCCTATCTCATTTGATTGGAATCTAGACAGACCATTAGTACTGTTCATCCTTATAGAATAGTTATTAGTCGTAGTTTTTATATATATACGATTAATAGACTGGACTACTAACGCTGTGAATCGTTATACTATCGAGTTTATAACAGATTTTAACCACATTCTTTTGAATGTTCACAAATCAAATTACAACTTCTACTTACAATAGGCAGTGAAGGAGGTCGTAACGAAGTGATACCATTCAGGAGTTGAGTTTCTCGTTGAGCGAGCTTTAAATAAATCAAACACAAAGTTAGACATATCAAGAAGGAAGTATCTACACAAAACTAATATGAATAAACTTAAATGAAATCACACTAGACTTATGAAGGAACAAACGATTAGTGCTATGAATATATTACACATTATAAGATGTAAGCAATATATATTCCAGTGGATACAATGAAGATACAATAAATTCTCCTAAACTGAGAGCGTTTAAAACATTTAGTTGTCCATGACTCAGTTTACGATTAAGAATAAATTAGCCGGTTGTTGGAAATGTCGAATCCTATTTCCTTATACTATTCAGTTAAATTCTATACATATAAATATACACCAGCTTCAATCACGGTATAGAAGAACGTGGCATATTTCTGATTTGTTGTCACGTAAATTTAAGCTGTTTACTTTCCAGCTAGTAAAAAGTATTTAAACAGAATGATGAATATGTAATTTGTGCTACACTTTTCTTTCTCTCCATCTAGAACACATTCTATTTATTATGATTATATAGTTCAGAATTATTTTTACTTCAACATGATATTCAACATATCAAAATAACATAAGTCTAGGCATAACCCACTTAGAATATTTGGTGCAACGATGTGAATGATAAATCAGAGGCTGAAAGTATAGAAAAACAGAAGATAAAATTGATCTGTGTTGTTAAGTTAAATACATGGGTCATTTCACCAAAACCAATATTTCACCGCATTTGATAGGATCGTCTAAAATAGCTTAGCTAAGGATAGTGTATATTAATTACAGTCTATAACCTCCAACATTTAACAAATTCAAGGTAATCATAAAAAAATTAACAATTTTATACATTTACCTCATTCCCATCATCGACCTGTTTACATAATGTCTGTAATGTACTATTCAATTGATCGATTTCTTGATTATATTGGTCAGCTGTGTAATAACATACTCGAAGAAATTGTCTATGTGAATGATATACTCCAGAAGGTAATGCTGGTCTGTAGACAGATTGGGTTTTTTTTAAAAAAAAGAATTATGAGAGGCAGTTGAAAGAGGGAAAATGGAAAGATAATACATACGTGATGAGCACCAAAGGGTTAATAATAATAATAATAATAATAATAATAATAATAATAATAATAATAATATTATTATTATTATTATTATTATTATTATTATTATTATTATTATTATTATTATAAGCAAACATGGATGGTTGCTAGCAATGGAATCCAGAACGCGCGTTCCTTCCTATTTAGGACTCGTCAGCTGGATTTACCTGAATCCTGATATTCACTCTGGGACCCGAACCCAGTACCGTTATAATAATAAGCTAATAGGATAATATTCTCATTTAAGAGACCGATGGACCGATATAAGCAGCTTAAGATTTAGTATAGATATGTATCAATTTCGCACGGACTTAATCGCGTGTGTTCAAATGAAAAAATTAGCAATATTTAATTGCACAATAACATTGGATGAATATTGAAGTTCTTGATATTCTCAATCAGATCTCCAAAAAGTCGTAAACTGTGCTTTAGGAATGAATGTAAAATTCTGTTGCATTAGCTTTTTTACTTACTTACTTACACCTGTTACCCCTCGTGAAGGAGCATAAGCTGGCCATCAGTATTCTCCATCGAACTTTGTCAATGTGCAATCCTTTCTAGCTGCTATTCATTCTTTTGATATGTTTCCGATTCCTTGGTTTTCCTATTTTCATTTTCCCTTCAAAATTTCAAGTTAGTGCTTGCCTCATGATACAACCTGATGATTTCCGGAATGTATGTCTTATCCACCTCCAGCACATATTTTCCTAATTTCCTCTTCAGCTGGAACTAGCCTTTGTAAATTTCTTTAAATACATTCTCAAATTGTTAAACTTTATCCTTTGTTTAGTGTTTTTATAATTTAAACAAATTAATGAGCATAATACTTGTTTGGAACTCATAATATATTTCAACCTTAATTTAATAAAGGTTACTCAATGACCATCACTATAAACAATTGATGGGTTTTAGAATTAAATTTCAAGAAATTAAAACACAGATTATCATTATTAGATTACTGTTACATAATAGAATAAAATCAATATTCTTGGGCTAATTATAAAATGTCTAAAAGTAGCCATACTCTGTAGTTAATCCCAAATTATTAGAGTATATTGATAACTATACATCCATAATACTCACAGTAATAAAAGCGTTAGCAAATGGGTTACTATCAAAAAAGACGCGTATTTATAAAGCTAATCAGTGATAAAAATAAGAGAATAACCTTTCTCAATGGTGTGAAATATGTTCAATTTACTCACTGTTCCTTTGCCTTATAAACCAATCGAAAACGTATTTTCCTAAGCATATGATGAGTCTACACTCTTAAACAAATATTGTAATTTTCCGAATTTAATAACAACTTGTTATTGTTATTACACTAGTCATGTTATTTTGTATGTCTATTACAAACAGTTAGGATATAATCTATTAAAAGAGGGAAAAATGTACTGAAAACCTAAAAAACTTTTTATTACTTTGTTTAAACATTATTCAAATAATACCTTATTGTATGTGGTGTGGTAGCAAACAATATACCTCTTCTGGAACTACGTACACCAGGATTAATGCCAGTATGTATTTCAACTAACTTTTTGTTGTTCTCACGTAACTGACCACTATTACTAGAAGTTATAGCGGCTGATGTTACAGCTGCAATCTCTTCTTCAAAACGCGCATGTTTACGTACAGATAAACGATTTGTTGGATTAAAATCATCCGGTAATAAATTTAATGATGATTGGGATAAAATAAATCCTGAAGTGGTAGATCGAGTTTTACCGCCAGCACCATATTGTTTTCGGCGTCTACGACCAGGTCCGTTGGAATCTTTTCTTACTTTATTCTGTTCATAGTCTAATACTTGTTCACTCCCTTCGATATTGGCAGCTACTGCGGAAGAAGATGGTGTACGCACTTCTGCCTCGGAATCCGATTGCATACTTGATGTGCCACCACCACCACCGCCAGTTTCGGTGTCTTGATTTGATTCTTCCGATTCCGGTAACAATACACAATCATGCAAAGTATCAAAATAACGCTTGATTTCTGCATCAACTGGATCATTCATATCTAAATCGATAGTATATTTCTATGTAGAATGAATATATATAAAGAAATGTGAGATGAATTCATTCAACTGAATTTTTTATCGAAATTCAAAGAATTCCCCTACCTATTGAGATGAAATATTCAAAACAAAAGGTAACTAATTATCTGTAGATCAAATGTGCTAAATAACGACGGTCACCTTTTCTAATGTTATGCCCAGACATCATGTAAACAATCCTGACCATAGCTGTTGCTCCGAAACGGTGATCAGGCTTGAATACTGTGATGACTAATCGAGCTACGGTGACTGTAAGACCTGTTTTTTTGGGTCCCTGTTATGACAGAGGGTGTCCAAAGTATGATATTGATGCACGGTGTGCTACGCGCTAACCTCCCAATGACTACTTGAGCAAGAACACAAGAGTGAGCTAGAAAGTTTATTGGGCTACCGAATAAAATGTGTACATACTCATCCACGTACATACCACTCAATCCTTAGGAAATTAACCCATTTCTTAGCCAATGAGATGTGCTTGTCCTTTAAGTCACTTCTAATTGCCATCGATTGACCTCCTCGTTAAAGTACTTCTGATCAGTCCTAATATGCTAGGTAAATCGGTTAGAGACAGGTAAAAGTGAAGGGAACAAACTCATAACCTGAGGGCGAAGTCATGCTCCTAACTGTGTAGAAGAGTGTGACGACAGTAAGGTGTTTCTTTCAGATAATCAACATCTACAACAATACTGCCTCCTTACAAAAGAAGAACGGGATCAACCTTAAAAATAGCAAACTGTGATTAATGTGAACCATCTAATTGTTGAGTGTTGTTACATATGATTTCAGAAATTCCTTAAAGCTTGATATTCAAGTATGTGTTTTGAAGGTGAGGAGGATCCACACGAAAAAGACAACTGACAAGTGTGCTTAGCAAAGCTAGAATGTAGCTAGCAATGCAGTCGTGAAAGCATATTTTGTCCTATTTCGCACTTGTCAGATGAATGTATCTGGATTTCGGCGATGATGATCATACGGAGACTCAAACTTAATACATCCTGCTTCAAACTCCGACATTTTATCCGATGAGCTACTATGTCCAGATAGACACTAATTATTCAACGGAAATGAACTTATTTGCAAGCGTTTGTAGTTTCACATTATTTAAGTTAACATATGCAACTGACCAATCTCTGTTAGCATACAAAATGCGAAACAACACTGTTCGCATCATTTCGATTTACTGTAGGACAGTGAAAATTACTCATATTTTAAATAAAACAAAAATGGTTGAACAACTTTATTTAATATGAATCGATAATATCATTGACTAAAAATAAAGTATATGACAAAACTATGATATATTGAAATCTAAGCAACTTTTCGGTTTCTATTCATCTGCACTTACTAAGCGCATATTTTTCTACTCAGCTTCAAGCAATACATTTTGTATGAATGGTACATGATACCAGCTGACATCAATACTAAAGTAACCCCCAAATGCCCTGGTACGGTCAAGGGTAAAGAGAGTCAGCTCTCCCTCTCCGAATGCTCTGAAGTGGCTACGAGCATACAACCACTGCCAGGGAAGTCCTACTCACTGCCTTCTCACGGCGGGATCGTTGTGTACAAAGTCGGGAGGATGAGAAGCGAATGTTTGGCGCTTTAACCAGGTTGGTAGGTACGGAGGATTCATGTAAGGGATTGGAAAACCCTGACTATAAACCAATGGTTCATATTGGGCTCCAGGATCCCGAGGGGACAAAAGGCGTACGAACCGATTGTTGGTCACCGGTTACCATGGAAGTGCATCTCCTAAAGTTGCTCCACTGCCTTGTGGATTGGACCTCTAGGTCTAAGGCTCAGACAGTGGTCTTCTAAGAACACCACCTACTTCAGTTTCAGCGCTCGGGCAGTATCCTACTCCTCACACAAATCGAATGAAATGGTAAATAAATAAATACCCTATATTGATATAATTATTCAGTGATCTACAATTTATCATATACAGATATAGGATTATACATTTTGAAAATAAACTCGCTGAAAATGATTCCTTCTGTGCATAAATTTTTTACTATTTATTATTTATTTATTTATCTGAACACATAAATATTGGTACAAAGGGGCACCGAATACATATGCGGCACACAAGTCACTTGATTCGTGTGTGGGCTATGATACTGCCTGAGTACCCAAACCGACTTAATAGGTATATTTAAATTTACATCCTTTTAAGTAACAACAATGAAAATATGCAACACATGTAAGTAAAACAAACAAAAATAAACTACATAAGCAAGTGCCTGTCTGGATTCAATAGCTAAGTGGATAACGCAGTGGGTGTTTAATGTGAAATGTACTGGATTCGGGTCTCAGTGTGAACATAAACACTGAGGTGCATGTAAATCCTACTTTCGACTGCTAGCCACCATCCAACTCTGTTTATAATGCTTGTAACCTAATGACATTATTGGGGTAATTTTCACAGGATGCACATACACCAAAAAGTGCTGATCATATAAACGGGAAGAATCAAGCAATCAATACAAATAGACATCGAAAACTAGAATAATTAACAACAACAAAACAGCACACAACTAACTTTATGATTATTTGTCAGTGTCTTTACAGGGACAGTATCCGGTGGTGGTAAAATGCCTGGGATTAAATAACCACGTTTATACAAACTAGACCATTTAGGTCCGTATAAACCCATTTCATGCAATGTTTGTTGATTGCGTTTATTAAGATAATAGAATAGAATTAATTCATTGACAGTACGATTAGGAAACTTTTAAAGGGAGAGAGAGCGACAACAGTGTAGAAATAGTCAAGTGATTACTGTTAAGTTTGTATTATTAAATAATTAGCGGAATAACAGGAATGAATTAATGCATAAATCATGTAAATAGATGGATTGTGGTTGGTAGTAATATTCAATTCCTCATTAAAATGATATAAACATTATACCCATTGTACAAGCCAGTGGATATCTGCACTCATTAGCTAGGTGGATAATCTATACGGTGTTTAATACGAAAAGTATTGAGTTGGAACCCTGATGTAAACATCACCACAGGGATGCAGGCACATTTAAACGACGAGCCCAAAAAAAGACGGAACGCATCCTGGATTCTATTACTAGCCACAAACCACATATTTTACAGGAACTTGAGACAAAATGATTGCACCAAGGGGTAAAGTTCTAGATGCACATGTCCCAAAAGAGACTGGTCAATATTCTGTCCTGAATATCAACAACGGGATAATTTAAACCCTTACTAAATATGATATAGACAGATTTATGATTTAAATAAATTTAAGAGCTATTTAGATCATGAGTGGGTGTAACTTACCAAGTACAAGCTTATGCATTCAGCATTGTGCCTTATTGTTTACGTCAATGATAGTGATACTACCTCCTCCTATCAGCTTAAATTGAAGTAAGTAGAGTGAAGTTCTAACCTGTGACCTACTGGTTGAAATTTAGGTGCACCAATCACTAAGTGGCTTTTTTAAACCTACCTGACTAACGATATATGTACTGTAGTTTCATGTACAACACTTTGTAGTACATTATAATCTTTAAAATACTCACTTATCTAATTATAACGATAAAGGGTTTTACAGTTAAAAAGCACTTAAGTGTCAGATCATGTGAAAAAAACTCTATTGGTTAACTGTTTTAAAAAACCAACTAAATACTGTTTTTTTACCATAAAAAACAAGTAAGACTTTATTTCACTGAAAGGATATCTTTTGATTGAACCACTCTTCCTTGTTCTCTATCTCAATGAGTATCTTCCGTCTATGTAAAAATTCCAAATTAATTATGGGGAAATATGTAATATAAGGACAAGTCTATCAGAATTGAAAACGTGACATTTAGGTGTTTGCGCCAAATTCAAATATTGCTTATAGCGAGCAGTAGAAATAATTTTGTATGGTGCTCAAAACGTTTAAAATGATTGCAAAAAAACTACACGTTTCTATCGCAGAGTAAAAATGATAGTGTCAGATGTACCAAACGCTCAATTCAGTCTCTGTCGATTGTATATAATAGGTAAACCAACATTATGCTTAAATCACAATCTTGAACCCTCAATTTTAAAGTAGACGTTAACTTGGTGGGACTATATTTTGTGCGCAAATTAATTAGATAGTGTCTGACATTGTTTTAGCAAAATTCATTTAATCAGATGAGTATAAACAAATTCTGTATCATACACGACATCAGTTCTTGATGAGAATCTTAATCCTAAAGATTTGGGAGGACAGATAATCTATAACCATAAGGACGAATTTTTTATGTCGTTGCTTTACCGATTTACAGGTAGATTAACTTGTAGAAAACTTCATAAATTCATTCAGTACATAGAACCTGTTTATACTTTGTGATATTGTTATTTTCTACTCCATAAACCAATCATTTACGAAGGCCAGCTGAAAATTTATCGCGCTTGTTTCAAGTTCTTCCTTATACTACATAATTTTGTCTAATTATACTTGTTTACTTCAATAAATAAACCATCACTCCTACCAATTCAGATTTGATATAATCAATAAAGACGAATTATTATCAGAAGGGATTTTGTGGGGATTTTAGTAATTTCAATAGTTGAAATCATGAGTCAGTTGAAGTTAGACCACCATGGAAAACCGTTTCGTCCTAGTATGGCACTCCTTAGCAATGCGCATCCACGATCCCACCCTCCGCGAGATTCAAACCCAGGACCTGTCAGTCTCGCGCCAGGCGCTTAACCAACTAAACCACTGAGCCGGCATCCAACGGTGTTAATATCTAAAATCTCCACAAAACCCCTTCTCATAATAATCACCTGCTCAATAGAGACTGACTTCAAGAGGCATTTCTTGGAGTTCTAGTGAGAAGCCGTGACCAGTGGAGTTCAACCAGGACTGTTGTGAGATATCAGCTGATTGAAGACAATGGCGTACGGTGGCACAATTTCGTGGATTAGTTGAAGTTAGACATTAACACCGTTGGATGCCGACCGGCTCAGTGGTCTGGTGGCTAAGCGCTCGCGCGCGAGACTGGTAGATCCTCGGGTTCGAATCTCGCGGGGGGCAGAATCGTGGATGCGCACCGCTGAGGAGTCTCGTACTAGGACAAAACGGCCGTCCAGTGCTTCCAGGTTTTCCATGGTGGTCTAGCTTCAATTTACTCATGATTTCAATTATTGGAATTATTATCAATCCATTTGTGACATTTTATGATTTATTAAAATATTAACAAATATATTACTGATTAATGTAGATAAAAATCTCCTTTAATTATGTTTATAAATTAAATAGATACTTACAAGTTTTTTTATTTGATGAAATTGTTTATTATAATAATCAACAGATATAAAAAATATTCTTCGTTCAGATATTGTCCATTCATATTTGATTGGACTAAAATTGCATAAATCTGATAATGCATGATCAAAATCAGTTTTATGCCATGTAAGTAAAGCAAGAGCTTGTTCTTCTGAATAACTTGATAAAACAAAGTAATATTTCTCACTTTAATGTAAATATATATGTAAACAAATAAAGATTATATGATAATTTTTGGCATAGAATTGGGTTGAATTTCATTCAGTTAATAATTTTACAATTAATCAACCACTGAATAGTGATCGATAGTTGCTATGTGCAAAGAGATTACGAGATCAACTAAATCGGCGAACGGAAAGAAGACTCAGCGACACAATGACCGAATAAATTAACGATTCTGATACATCCCAGCCCCGCTAACTAGATGGAGAAGTCCAGGTTCAGAAGAGAGAAAGTGCATTCCACAAGCATCCAGAAGCATAAACTGTTAGGATAATCGGAAAAAGAGACCAATAATTATCATGTTAAGTTCAATGGTGTCCTTGAACCTTAAATGTACATTTCTTGTTGGTCGATGTTTATTTCACTTGTTAAATATTGTACAAATGTTGTTTCCTATTTTATGGTACGATGCGGTTTGTTTGCTTGGTATATAAATAGAGTATGTTTGAAATACAATGATTCATGACTCCGAGGCTGTGACTTGTGTTCTTCACTCAACTGGGCTAGGACGGACAGCGAAGCAGGGCCAATCAGGGCACTAGGTCGTCCGTACGTGTTTTCCGTGTCACTGTCACAGATCGCGATCGATAATAAAGCTGCGTATCTAAAACCTGCAGTCACACCCGTTACAACATAAACAACAACAAGCACAACTCAAGCTTATATACACAGCATAAAAATAATCTTGAGGAACGTCACCAAATGACATATTAAAAGAGACAACGAACCAATGACATTTAAGGTCCTGCCAAGTGCGAAATACAATATGAAGGTGAAAATAGGGGCTTTTGGCTCGAATACAAGAAACTCGAATTTCCAAAATAAAATCACAAAAATAAGATATTTACCAAGTAAGTTCTGGAAATCTAACATCCTCTACAATAGTCTGTTTGTTTAGTCATTTGATCCTGATCGAATTATTTTGATTAAGTTTTTGATTGAGATCATGAACCGATTGATGTTAGACCACCACCTTTGTAAACCTGGAAGCACTGGACGGCCGTTTCGTCCTATTGTGGGACTCCTCAGCAGTGCGCATCCACGGTCCCGCTCGCGGGGTTCGAACCCAGGGTCTTCGGCCTCGCGTGCGAACGCTTAACCAGCTGGACCACTGAACCGGCATCCAATGGTGATAGTGTCTAACATCAACCAATCCACAAAATTGCGCGACCAACTTCCATTGTACTGAGGTAGATACCTGTCTCTACACGACATGGATCAGCTCCACTGGTCACGGCTTCCCACTAGAACTCCGAGAATTCCCTCACGAAGCTAGCCTTAGTGAGCACATGTTGATTACCAGTATAGGGTCTGTGGAGATTATTAAGTTTTTGATTGAGAGCATGAACCGATTGATCATTAGTCTAAATGACTCAATGTAGTATGCAATATCTATATATGTGGTGGATTGCAATACCAGCCTAATAACTCAGTGATAAAGTCTTACAATGAGCAGATCAGGATGTTGCGACTTCTAATCCAGCAAGGACCATTAGATTTCTTAAGATTATTATTATTATTATTATTATTATTATTATTATTATTATTATTATTATTATTATTATTATTATTATTAATGGCTTTATTCAATATTATATTTTGGTACAATATAGAATTTTCAGCATTGTAGATACGCCTTGATGATGAATGGCAACTACTTCCAACCACCTAACAGTTTATAGATTTTTTGTTCAAGAAAAACTTAACAAGCTTTATTACATGTCATCTGAAAGCATTAACTAAAATGGCTTTCATTAAGCATCAATATGAACAGTCAGAAACGATTGGAGACAGAATATTAAAGATTTATTTCATTCAATATAGTGTAAATTTTTACGATTGTCAGTAGATGCATGAATATGAAATTTTGTTAAATACATCACTTGTTAACTTATGCATATCATTATGTAAATTGATGTGATTTTTGACGGATCACCTAATGTACACTTGTGATAAAAACTATTTTAAGGGAATAAATGAACTATTAAAAGATTTAGGAAGGCATTTTGTAATTTGATACTGATTATTAAAATTTAAAAATAGGCTAAACTGCTATCAGACACAAGCTAGTGGCTTATAAGGTTACGTTTGAGGTTAAGTACTAACTAAGCTTAGATATTTAACTTTTATTCAGGTTATTTACTACATTGTCATATGGTTACACATGTCATCATTTCATCAGAGTAAACGAAAAAGCAGGCCTTCTTAAGAGTTCTAATCCACTTACGTAACCATTTGTGGGTTTTTTTGTCATAAATCCATACTTATTGTAGAAAGCATAGAGATACTGTCAAGAATGTTACAACTAAAGCATTTTTGGCTCGAAACAAAAATTTCCATTGATCAATCTTTATTTTAAGCATGGTTTTATTTAAAACAAATCAAATGGTAAAGTAATTAACCTAAATTAACTGAGGTATAAGATATTAATCAATCCACAACACAAGATGACCATGAAACGAGTCTATAAATGGTTAAATCACATAGCATACGTATATGTACTAAGATCTCAGTGTATAGTGGACATTTAGAATTATCTACTAGACAGAGAAGTTAAAATTTGATCTAAGTCAACCACAAAACAATTTAATACATAAATAGATATATTAAGGCTGGTTAGTTTACCCATATTTTTCAGTAGCTGTATTCAAGAATTCCTCTAACTGATTATGGAGACTAACAGGTATTGGAAGCCATAAAGCAACTCCCCGATCTGGTTGATTCAAAACGCTTGGAGGTGGTTCACCATTGAAAAGCGGAAGGTCAGCTTGAAAATCTGTGCCAACTCGAATAATTGCATCTACAAAGTAGAAAAAAGCACCTTCAGTGATGTAAAAATAAATTTGTCAGAGATTTCAATTGGAAATTTCTTACGGTTGTGAAACCAAACTGATGTAAAATTATTTTGATATGATCTAAGCCGACAGAAAATAAGAGAAATGCTAGTTTGCAAACAAATAAGAGGACTAAGTTAGATCTTCGTTTGAAGTGGCAGTCCCCCAATGTAATAGTAGCTAAGCTCAGAAAAACTCGGATAAAGAATACATTTAATTTCCATTAGACAATAATATTCCAGATGAAATGATCACACAGAAAGATACCGAAGATATTTTAAAATGAACACGTAGAAAACACGTGAAGGAGAAACAAACAAGTGGGGAGTGATAAGATATTGAATACTCTGAGTAAGATAAGTTAAGTATTGACAAATTGTAGTTGTAATTAGTTTTTGTGTTTATTCAGATATTCATAAATTGGACTGTCAATGGTTAAGAATGAAAATTTTAACGTCCAAAACGCAAAACTTATGGGACAGTGTATTTCGTGAATTTTTAAGAGCATCAAATGTTGGAAAAAGGGTTTTCTCAGTAAGGTTCCACGTATCTGAATTATTTATTTATTTGGACATAAGGATTGGGACAAGAGAACAGCAAATATATGTGCGTCACACAACAAAAATGAGATTGTGAAGAGATAGAGAATGTGAAATGCGTATGACAAAAAGAGAAACAACAATGAACAGAAATTAGTGTGTGGGAGTGAAATATAATAATAATAATAACAATAATAATAATAATAATAACAATAATAATAACAATAATAATAATACTAACAAAAACAATAATAATAATAATAATAATAATAATAATAATAATGGGAGAAACAATTCAGTTAGGAAAAATACAACCAGAAAGAATCTTTTCAGTTAAAGAAGTAACGACTTCTTTTATGAAGAAACCAAAAATAAAGTTATAGAAGGATTGTCAGTGGCTTGCATTCTAAGCCATTTCTGATAACATCTCAAGCCACTGTATTGCACCATCGTTAAAACCCCAACCAGGACGTTGTGGAGGATCCACAAAAATCAACCATATACAATTCTTCCGTACCACGACACCATGTTGTGCACTAACCACCTCAGCTTTTTTCAACCGATCCTAGCGCCGGCAAATAATGAGCGATGTGACATCTACTGGGACGACTTTCGTAGGACATGTCTAAGCCACCTAAGTCAGTGTTTCAAGACGGTGACGCCAGTCGAGGTATCGCCACTGTGCCCAAACACACGTTGCCGGACCTCGAAACCACTAACTTGGTGTTGTCCATGGTTGTTAAAAATCATTCTGAGACAAAGATGGCCAAACACATAGCCGTCTGACATTCTTAAATCGGAAAGGCCGTGTTCCACAAACACAGCAAAACTACTCTCAACGATGAGTTTTAGATCCAACCTTTTAAGGACATACTCGCGAAATTTAACAGAACGACTAAAAAATATGAAAACTCATCGGCGAACAAATTTGTCGAATAACCCGGTGGCTAAAATACAATGTAGTAGGAGACGAAAATATCAAGTCAGACAGTGGAATTATAGTAAAACTTCGCTCAAAAAGCATTGACTTAAGTTGTAAGGCACTGTGATAACATGAAAGATCATTAAAATGATTAAAGAAAACAAATCACAATTAATAAACAGTTCATAATTTCTACAGTTTCAAAGAGATTTGTGCAGTGAAGACTGAATTTACGAAGTCTACACTTCTGTAGGTTGATCTATTCATACCCAGACATCCACAGACATAACCCTACTTATTTTAGCATCAAAATAAATCAACACAGGAAATCAGAAATGATCTGAAGATACCTAGGTTTAGTAACTTGTAACCTAGTTATAAGCTAACTCTTGAAGTCATGCTTTACAGCGACAGTATAAGCTGACCCATTGCTACACAGCTTACTCGGAAATCGATATAAAATCACATCTAGAATGCCAGTAAAAGGTTTAGGAGAGACTTAATTTTAAATGTCAAGCAGAATTTTTACTTTCGTACTTTTATCACGCTAAAAACATATTTACCAATCTTGAACATGAACTAATGTAAAGTCCGGTTTTTCTTAGGTTTTGTCTATAATTTGGACTCTTGGTTTATAGATCCGAGGTTATGAATTCATAATGATATCAAAAGCGCAGCAAATCTATCACAAAGATCTACACATGTAATAGCCGTCTTAGAAAACTTTTAGACAGTTTGATGGCGAAATGCCCAAGACTTTAAAGCCATATAGATGAAATCACAGTGAGTATCGCTGTATAATGAAGAACTTGTTTTAGAGAGTATGATATCGGTGAGTGAACCAAAGTCGACTTTATGTTAACTACAAGAATTCTCAAATAATTATACGTTCGACATCCAAACCTTGCCAATCTTTTCCTTAATATGGTATATATATACTATATCCGACCCCTTAGAACCAAAGTGGCGGCCATTCTGGATTACCCAGAACCGACCACCGTCAAGCAATTACGCACGTTTAACGGCCTCGTAAGTTTCTATAGACGTTTCATACCGAAATGCGCATTACTCATGAAACCTCTGACCGACCAACTTCGTGGAAATGCGAAATCCATTAATTTGGACGACACCGCACGAAAAGCATTCTCCACAGTTAAGGAACTGATTGCTAAAGCAACAATGCTCGCACATCAGGACACCGAAGCACCCATTAGTATCGCAGTAGACGCATCGGACTCGGCAATCGGAGGCGTCTTATAACAATGGGCTAACAACTCTTGGCAACCCTTGGCATTTTCCTCTAGAAGGTTGCTAGACACCGAATCAAGGTACAGCACATTCGGTAGGGAACTCCTAGCTATGTATTGTGCTGTACGGCATTTCCAACACTATATCGAAGGCCGTGAATTCATTCTTTTCACGGACCGCCCCCAAATGCCCTGGTACGGCCGAGAGTGAGGAGAGTCCGCTCTCCCTCTCGAAATGCTCTCACATGGCCACGCGTATATCGCCTCTGCCAGGAAAGTCCTACTCACTGCCTTCTCGTGGCATTACTGTTGTTTACGAAAATGAGAGGACGAAAAGCGAATGTCCGGCGCTTTAACCGGATTCAAAACCAATGGTGCACATGGGCTCCAGTATCCTGCGGGAACAAATGGTGTATGAACCAATTGTTGGTCACCGGCTTCCATGGGACTGCATCTCCTTACGATGCTCCACTGCCTTGTGGATCAGACCTTCAGGTCGAAGGCTCGGGGTGTGGCCCCCTAAGAAAACCACCTGCTTCGGTTTGGGCACCCGGGCAGTATCACAGCCCTCACACATATCGAATGAGATTTGTGTGGCGCATATGTATTTGGTGCCTCTTTGTGCCATTATCTATGTGTTGAAATAAAATAATTTCACGGACCATAAACCGCTCACTTTCTCGTTAAGCTCGCCTTCAGACAAGTACTCTCCTCGTGAGTCTCGACAACTGGACTACATTTCGCAGTTTACTTCAGATATTCAACACATCTCTGGAGCAAACAATGTAGTTGCAGACGCCTTATCTCGCATAACTTCCTTGAACAGTTTCCTAGGAATCGACCTTCTTAAACTCGCCGAGCTTCAAAAAGAAGACAGTGATCTTCAGCACGAGTTATCGTCCACAACACTTAAACTACGCATCAAACAGATGGGAACAGGAAAGGAAACCTTACTTTGTGACACATCTACAGGTAGGGATCGCCCTATCGTGCCGAAACATTATCGACGCAATGTCTTCAACACATTGCACAAACTTTCGCATCCAGGTGTTCGTGCAACCATCAAGCTCATAGCAGAACGGTTTTGCTGGCCTGGCATGAATAAAGACGTGAGGGAGTGGGCACGCTCCTGTGTAAGCTGCCAAAAATCTAAGGTTATCAGACACAATAAATGTCCCTTAGGCTCGTTTAAAACTCCCGATGCTCGTTTCGACCATGTTCATCTGGATTTGGTAGGACCTTTACCAGATTCAAATGGATACGCTTACCTCTTAACCTGCGTAGACCGTTTCACTCGATGGCCAAAAGCAGTACCTATCAAGGACATCACTGCTGAAACAATGGCTCGCGCCTTCGTCGAACGATGGGTAGCAAACTTTGGCTGCCCTTCAACCATCTCTACAGACCGCGGACGTCAGTTTGAATCTGAACTTTTCCGTCGTCTGACCACACTTTTAGGAACCACTCGCTTCCGAACGACTGCCTACCACCCACAAGCAAACAGGTTGGTAGAACGTTTTCACCGACAACTAAAAGCTTTACTATCAGCTACAAACGTTTCACAGTGGACCGACGCTCTTCCACTCGTCTTACTAGGTATCTCCAATGCAGTGAAAGCTGACATTGGATACGCTGCGGCTCAACTCATTTATGGAACGACACTTCGACTTCCAGGAGAATTCGTGGATCCTTCATCCTCTTCAATGAACATGGATCTAACCTCCTACACGAACAGGCTTACAAACGCAATGAGTTCAGTTAAACCTGCTTCCACTCGACCACAATCAATCGACGTTTTCGTTCAACCTGACTTACGATATAGTACACACGTTTTCGTTCGTCGAGACTCGCATCGACGACCATTCGAATCAGCATACGAAGGACCCTTCAAAGTTCTTCAACGTGAATCTAAGTACTATATAGTCGATAAGAACGGAACCAACGATAGCATCAGCATCGATCGCTTAAAAGCAGCGTATTTAGAAGGAAATCCTACTCACGTTGATTTTCCTTCGGTACAATCGCACAACACGACTCCTACACTCATAATTCCTCAACCGACAACCAACACTAGCGATGATACTTCGAATGTATCTGAAAATATACCTAAAACGACGCGTTCTGGAAGAAGAGTAAGATTTCCAGAACATTTAAATGACTACTGCACGTAAGGCATTACTCGACATCTTATATTATCACGATCTTTCTTTTTACGATATATAATTTTTATTTTAAAAAAAAACATTTTTTTAACGCTATTACGTGTGTTTGAGTATATTTTCCATTTTTCGCCGACATTGTGTTTTTACGCACATACGAGTGTATTTCGACATGCACTTACACTTTCTTTTTTCTTTTCCAGGACGGCTGGAAAAGAACGATGCAGTTTATGAGTCGAAATTTTCGTTGTAACTATGTTGTACCTCGGTCCCACATAGTAAGGAAAGACGACCAGACGCTGCTTCACTTAGTAAGCTATCAGAAGAGTGTTTACCAACGACAAACTCGTTGGGTTTAAGCTTCTGGCTGGACACGTCTTAGGGTCGTCACTGCCCCACTAGGGGGGAGTGATCTGTAGCGGTAAATAAATCCCCAAAATAAATAGCTCTGTAAGTTTTCGACATTGGATGCTGACCATATGTTTTAGTGGACTCAACTAGCTGAAGGCGCTCGGTCATGCATCCGCACCAGATCACGTGTGGTAACGCCGTGCTCAACATCAACCGCAATCGCTAGCCAGATTAGATCAGAGAATTCCGATATATTGGTCATCGCCAAATATACTCTTCCGATCTCCTCGACTCTGTCTTCTGATTTCTCTAGGTGGGAACGAAATATATTAGGTGTTACTGGTAGAAGCGTTGTCAAACACTGAATACCTGTGACATCATCAAGATCATAATGACAGAGCGATAACTGCTATGATTCCAGACAATATAATAATGATCTTCGAGGCAATAGCATTGGTTAAAACAATGATTGAGTTATAACTAGTTTTTATTTTAGCTTTCTCGTCGACCAGTCAACGATTAGAACAAAAAATGTCAAACAAACGTACGGCGCCACACATATGCTACGGTTCACAAATATACGTATATGGACAGGGATGTAAAACAATAAATTTACTTTCGAAAGCATCTTGGTCAGAGTTCGAAAATGAATGTGAAAGGCGGCCACGAGTCAACACATTACTCATCTGTAGTGCTTGTCTTGAAGGATGACCTTGAAGTTTGTTATACGCGCGCTATTTCAATAACCAATATTTAAACTCATTCGCAAATCAGCTAACAAACTGACTGGCTCTGAACACTATATAAATTTTATCTCACCCTGATAAGTATACAGCAAATTGACGATGTAACATCTTCTTGTATCCATGAGTTCATCACTTGCCGTGGTAAAAAAATATCAGAAACCTGAATTATTTCATCTTGATTTTTAGATTTCTGACAGGATTTCTCCAAGTAGAAAATAGATGAATAGTCTTAAAGAAAAAGTCTCTTAGTCTACAGGAATTTAAAATTTTGGTAAGAAAGGCCGTATAACACCGGATGAGTTACACACTGGTTTCACTTATGTAACCTCCCTAAATATCACCTATTAGTGTAAACCAGAGGTATGGAACAGTCATCTCTTTCTTAAAAACAGGTCCTAGAAAAAATCCACAATATTACAGAATAATTACTATTTTAATGTGACTGTGAAACCTCACAAAGGATTGTTAGGAAGACCGCAATGAAAATGTACAGATTTATTACTGAGGATTTCCGCTTGAAAAGATTTGTATTTTGTACATTTGTAGTGTCTTACATAGAATTCTTTAGATGCCTACATGAATTAAGCCCAACATTTGAATAAGCAAATCAATATATTCTTAAGACAGAATGTTCAGTTTCGAATGTGTAAGACTCCGGTTGTATCCCATAACTTACCTTCCTTACCCTCGTTAATTTCTCGTGTCGATCATTGCGAATCTTTCCCGTTTCCAGATCAGTATGTGAGGGTATTCACGTATGTCAATCTACATCTGTACGTTGATTGAGCGGCTGTCTATTCGCTTGTATACGACGAAATATTTCCCTCATAGAAATGTTGGTTAACGCTCTACCAACTGTATTTTGGATAGAAAGTCGAAAATTAGATTGCGTTCATCAGTTTAATTCTACAGCTTGTTACCATGACTATGAATGCCCGGAGTAAATTCTTCCTAAATGTTTCGTATTTGATCTTTGCCAACACACCTGATAAATAGATTAAGACAGCGTTGAATATAAAATAGCTAGAGAGTCTCATTTTGTTGTATTTGAAGAAGATTAAATCATGGGTAACATTTGTAAACTATTTATGTACTGTAGTCACATATATTCTTATTGTTTAACTATTATGTAAGTAGACTGAATATATTTATACTAATCATAACCCTTCATTTGAATAATTCGCTACTATTACACGATTTACCTTTCTTATTCCCAATTTATCAGTTAAAGTATCCCACTGTTGGCCCGTAGATCTGACTCCAAGATCGTATAAATGTTTGCTATCGCTTATTCTCGTATATCATCGTCGACTTAAATCGCGTTATCCAATAACGGAATTAAATAAGTCGAATAACAAGAATTGACTTGAGAATACGTATATTTCGTACATGAAGTGAATGAATCATAGCAAAGCAAAAATGACGCGTATGGAAGATGGCTGGGAAGCCAACTCCATTTTAGTCAAGCGTTACTCAATATTTATAGTCAGACAAAATAAAGCTACGGACATGTGATTAATAGGATAAGATGGGCACACACATATACGCTCATATAAAAACAGTCAAGACTGACAAGCGAATAATTGACAAGGTCAATGTATGGCTGAAGTAAAATGAATAGAATGGGATGTCCGAAAGCTCGAATAAGGTATATGGGCTTGGCATAGTAACTGACACTACACCACACTCAAAACCACTTTTTGCTTGAACTTTTGAATCTGAACTGAACGGGCTGAGCCAGGCGTGAAGCTACTATACATAGGACCAATAAGGACTCAGAGTTGACTCAAGGCTGGTCGCGCTGGAAAACGCGATAGTGAGCACATTCGTCTGTGTCTTGATTGGTGATTTTGCCTCGTGATATTTCACCGGCCATAGAACATTACACATTATATTCGCCATCAAGCAGTATTCAATATGCTCACCAAAAAACATGTACAAGTAGATATTTTGTACCATGGATGACCTGTAGAATTCAAAAGTTTAGACTGTTCCAAACTGAATAGAGAGCGCCTGCGTCCAATTTTCAGAGTAGTTCTTGTGTTAATCATTCAGGGGCAAGAAAGAATATAACCCTATATGCACCAAAATCTACAGTGCCATCGAAAACAAAAGTCTGAGATTCATAGAACACTTTTCTAAGCAAAATATATAATTTGTAAATGGTCGATTACATAGAAGACGATTACCTATAAATACTCTCCCTAGAAACTGGTGTCCACCTTGGTGCATAAAGACGCTGCACTAGGTTTGACAATATATGTATTACCTATGAACGGTCTGCTGACTGCCGTCATTTCTCATTGGCCACTTATTATGAACGACGTCAAAATTTATGAGATAGCACAAGCTTGTCTCAACAGTGCGTTAAATCACTCTATTACGTGGCTGATGTTTATTACTGTCTTTCACTTATCAATTTGAGCAAATGCATGCGACGAACTACGAAACAGATAATAAACCATTGCTGTTGATATGTAGTTTGATGGAATTGGAATAACATTGAACTCCAGTACCACGATGACTCAGGTTGGAACGCTCATCCCTGAACGTTGAATGTTGATAAAGAATGGTAATAGTTAATAAAGGAGCAACTTGAAGACCTGACATTCAAAATACTTATACCTTCTTATTTGCATGTGACTGAACTTTCCTACGGTTTGATAGTGAGGTCGAAACTTTATAACTTTACATTTAAATAACTAAACTCATACTTCAATTACTTATTACGATTTCTCACATTCAGTAGACAAAGGTAATGAGCATACATTATCTGAACTGGTAATATTTAACCTTCACTTACTGAAACTCGTTGAAGCTATGTTTTAATTCTTCCTAGTCGTAGAGCATTTGCTAAAGCTACCGCTGTTGAAAAAAACACCTAGATTAGCAGACACCTTATTCGAACTACATGTTTTACTACTTCTATTACTATTACTGTCCATAAGTAGGAAATACCATTTATTCGACTGCAAAAAATATAAATCATGACAATTGTAGTGATCCATAAAGAAATGTTTTCCTTAAGAGATCACCCTAAAACAACAATTTGTTCAGGATCAGACGTCTAAATTGTTCATAAGAAATATCTCGGGAACTGGAAGCTTTGCCAATTGAGCTATATATTTCTCTGCCAAAGTAAACAAACAGGACCTACAATTGCATTTTATTGTTGTTACCGAGAATACGGCATTTTTGAATATAAAACGCTCCCCAACAGATTGGACAAAAAGGCAGCCCTCAGATGGACAGTTACCCAGAAACAAATGAAATATCGGCACTAAAAAAGATAACAAACCTACAGTGAGTTAAAAGGTGTTCTTTTAAATTTCCAGACCTCAACATACAACCCAGTTATGCCAACACTACTAGTCGAGTCAGAGCTTATGGCGAACTGTCATCTACATTTACAACCTCAAGTGGTGTCCGTCAAGGCTGTCCACTTTCCCCATTTTTGTTTAACTTCATCATAGATCTACTGATGGAAATAACTTTCGTCGACTGAATTCTTGGGTATTGATCTCCTTAAGGGAGGTCCACTTACCGACTTAGAATACGCAGATGATATAGTCCTGTTTGGCGAAGACGCTGACAAAATGCAGTCTTTTAGTAGCACTGAGCAACAATGCCAGAATGTTTGGAATGCGCTCCTCTCCCTCTAAATGCAAGCTGCTGCTTCAGGACTGGTCTGCGTCAACACCTGAACTAAGGATAGGGAGTGAAGTAGTCGAATGCGTCGACAACTTCACTTATCTTGGAAGTCTGATCAAACCTAATGAGTTGGTGTCTGACGAAATCTCAGCACGGATTTGAAAAGCTCGCTTGGCTTTTGCCAACTTACGTCACCTATGGCGAAGGTAAGATATCCGTCTATCAATAAAAGGACGGGTATACTGCGCGGCAGTCCATTCTGTTTTAATTTACGGTAGCGAAACATGGCCATTAAGAGTAGAAGACACTCGTAAGCTACTAGTATTTGACCACAGATGCCTCAGAAATATTGCTGGGGTCACCGGGTAAGTAATAGTGAGGTTAGACACCAGGGTATTAGGGAATGACGGTAAATCAGTTGATGGGGTTGTGAATCTTCATCGACTGAGATGGTTGGGCCACGTGTTACATACGCCTGAACACCGATTACCATGACGTGCAATGCTAACCGGTGTTGGAGATGGTTGGAAGAAAGTTAGGGGCGGCCAAAACAAAACGTGGCATCAGTGCTTGAAGTCACTAACTTCTAGTCTGAGCCATGTTGGTAGATGCAGATTACCTGGTTGGGGTCCGCGTGACTGTCGTAACCAATGGTTGGAGACTCTTGGTGACATGACTCAGAATCGATCACAATGGCGTCGGTGTATTCACTTACTGTCTTCCCTTAAACTAAGAGATTAAAATTGCTTCATATCTTTCTACGAACTAATTCTTTCTTCGTGTACTATATCCTTATTGCAATCTTTCTTTTATATATTACCACCTCTGAATTAATTACTTTTATGAATCCGGTGTCCATCTTGTTGTGTTAATGAGGTATGGCAACTTGGACCGATGCATATATATGCCTGGTCCTACGTTGTAGCTGACTGACTGACCTCAGTCAAAGGTGTCCTTTAAACGCAAAACACACTGGGTAACTGTAGTTCAGAAAGCAATCTGACGAGCATAACACACTAGTGATATTAACGTAAAGATATTTCACCTTCCGAGATGGACCTCAATAAGTTTAATTACTTTTACATCTAGGTTTTATTTATTATTCTGAATTAGATCGTAAGCTTGTCATTGTAGTCACCTGCTTGCGGTACTCAGAGACAACAAGACAGAGTGCAACTCAACATAGTTAATATATAAGACTAGTAATTCATAACACACCAACTAAGATATTTTTGAACTACATAATTAGAAACAACATCACTTGTCTAACATCTATGATCCGAACGAATCAGTTTGTACTTGAACATGTAGAAGATTTATTACTGGGATTTAGATCTATTTATCTATATCGTAATTTTTAAAAAAAATCCCAACACATTCTTATTTAACTACGGCTACTTCTAACCATAAAACTGGGAAAATATATTATTGAATATCCTAGATTATCGTTTCACAAAAGAACACATCAAAGTGATAATCAAATATTCATATGAAACAAAAATAAAAACATACATATACATGAAATGTATTTACATCACATAATCCCAATACTTTTTTTTAAAAAAAAGGAAACTCAATATACTTTGTTCAAACTTATAAAAATACAACGTACTTTACTAAAAAAGGAACAATAAAGGTGAATAAATAGTTATGGTCTTATTTTAATAAATAATCCCAATGATGGATCAGTGACATGCCATCGTGATGCTTCTAGAAAATTGAACACTTCATCTAAATCATCTACATGTCGTGGACGATCACAAGCTGATGATAAAACATGTGGCTCTACATAATAAATTTTGAAGAAAAAAGTTAAAGGAAAATTAAACATTACAAACTAGTAATGGTTAATTTAAAGCATTCTTCTTTGCTAATGACAAAATAATCTAATTAAAAACTGACTTGCCATAGTAAATACGGTCGACTGGTTTAGTCAGTTAGTCAGTCAGCAACAACGTAGAACTTCGTACGTACATACATCAGTTCGAGTTGCCATACCAAACTAGTACAGAGATGCAGTTGTCGATTCAAATTCCATAGTGGTAGAGTTAGTAAAGGTATAAGCAGTAATCGGAAACACTAGGGTTTGAAGACGTTATTCAAGGAGTATAATTCAGTCAAATAAATTTGGAAAAAAAAGGACATGAAGAATTCAGAAGATTAGAATTTGGGAGAACACAAAGAGTGGATGCACCTGCACCATTGCAAACGATTTTGAGCCATGTCATGACTGGTTAATTAAATTATAGTAATTTTAAAAAATAGTATTGAATAACTATTACTTAAAGCGTTATTTCATATTCCGTGATAAAGGAGTATAATAAGGCCTATAACTATGTATATTAGATTTGTCAGTATACGATTATTTGAACTGTAGTCAAGTGACCACTACCCCATAATATTTAAAATAATAATCTAGTGTTTAAGAGGAACAAATGTCAAGAGAAAGAAAAACCGGTTTGCACGAAGTTATTTGTATTCAAAGTAATGAGTGAAACGAGAAGTTAACAGTAACACTTTATATCAACACTATTAGATCAATTCATCTAAGAGGAAGTACGTAACTATGTTTTTCAACGGTAAACCTGTTAAGCTGCAAATTGATACGGGGTCTGACATAACACTAATTTCTAGAGAGACTTGGATAAAACTTAGTTGACATCGATATCAACCTACATATTAGAACGCTAAGAGTGAGACAGGAACTAACATTACTCTTCTTGGAGAAATGCGGATATCTCTCACGTTCAGTGACAAGACTATGACCGGAAAATGTTATGTATCTGGAACCTGTCATACCAACCTATTAGGTATTGACTTGATAGACAAATTTGGTTTATGGGACCGGCCGTTGAACATTGTCTGCAATATGATTAAATCACCAGCTGAAACAATATTTGGCCAACCAATTAAAACATCTTTTGGTGCTTTGAACCCCAAAGACAGAATGAATGGACTACAAAAAATAAGAAAGGGAATCGCCCGAAGATTCGAGAATTTAAAGCAGGTGACTTGGTCTATGCACGTGGTTTCCGGCCTGGAAAGCCAAAATGGATATTTGGATGTATTTTTAAAAAATGTGGGACGGTATTGTATGAAGTGATGGTCAAAAATACACTAATTATTAAACACATCAATCAACTGCGAGACAGAAAAAATGTTTATGAGTCACCTAAAGCCAAAACTTTACCAATGGAAGTATTATGTGATACATTTAATATTCCACCACCACCACAAGTTGGGATGAGAAAAAATGAGCTGGAATCAGAAGCTAGCCGAAGATCATTAAGGGGACGAAAACAAACGGGATTTTTTCAAATAGACCCAAAAGTGAAGTCATACGATCAAACTTTGCGAGGGAGGTGATGTGCGGACGAGGATGATAATGATTGGTTGTCTGCTTAGTCAGACATGTAGATAGTCTGACAGGTGTCAGATGGGTTATATATTCCTCTATCCTTATTATTATTGTGACTCTCATTATTGATTGTTCATTGTTGTTGGATTATGTCGGGTTGTGGTCAGGCTAATCACGTGTTCTTGATTTGAGTTGTGTTGACGTCCTGTAGTATAGACACTGGTAGGGAATCTAATGTAGATACTCGTTTAAGGTAAATTAACGTCCCATACGTGTAAACGTGGAAACCCATCCGTTGCAACATTAGTCGAAGTAAAATCGAGCGTTACAACAATAAGTCATCCGGTTTTTTTAGGATCCTGAAGTGCCGCTATCCCGATGGTACAGAATAAGGATTTGTCATCAATACGAGTAGCCAGTGCTGAGATAATTCACTTAGAAAATACGGTAACTAGAAACAAATAAATTCTTGTTAGATAAAAACTTGATGTCTATTTATGTTTCAACGATTTACTGAGAAACAGTGATCCTTAGATTTATCGAGCTACAGAGGGAAACATAATGATAATAATACTGTGAATGAAGTAAGCAAAGGAATTCAAAATCACTGACTAGATAGTAAAATGTGATTACTCAGAGGGATTACAGACACTAGTTCCGACCACACAGAGCGAACCCCTATGGCATTAAAATTGAATATTAAAAGTAAAGTGAGCCCTGAACTACGGTGATTCTTTGCTAGATTATAGTTTCACACAAAAATAAATTGCTGATTTATGGGATGGTGATATAAAATACCTGGGGCATATTCATGTGAGCCGGTGCCTTGCTGAAGTGCTCTAGCATATAAATGTGAGGCAGCAGCATCGACGAATGCATGCTGTTGAACTGTAGCATCGCCTACAAGCGTACCACCACCGGCAATCGATGTTATTCCAGAATTAGCTAAGTCGCCATTTGTAGATGATTCACTGGAATAAAACTGGGCTGCATATTGAGAAGCATAGTACTGTTGATAGTATTGTTGATAAGCTTGATAATATTCTGCTTGAGCTGCAGAATTCCCCGTTACAGCAGCCGCAACTGCAGCAGTGAATGGATCGGGCATACCTAAAAAAAAGGTAGCGAGCAGTGAAGTCATGATTAAAATGCATAATCCTTAGAAAACATAGTACAAAATCGAGATTTCACTACACCGAATGAAAAAATAAACTTGAAAAAGAACAGCTACGTCTGATTTATCCATATTTTTGAGTGATTTAACGTTCTAAAAACTTAAATTGCTGACAAGTATTATATGTGGAAATCTTATTTTAAAAATTTGTTAGGCAAACATAAAATTATCAGAAAGGGTCTTGTAGAGATTTTAAAGATTTCACTAGTAGAAACCATGAGTCAATTGAAGTTAGACCACCATGGAAAACCTGGAAACACTGGGAAACCGTTTCGTCCTAGTATGGAACTCCTCAGCAGTGCGCATCCACGATCCCACCCTCCGCGAGATTCGAACCCAGGAACTATCAGTCTCGCACCAGGCGCTTAACCAACTAAACCACTGAGCCGGCATCCAACGGTGTTAATATCTAAAATCTCCACAAAACCCCTTCTCATAATAATCACCTGCTCAATAGAGACTGACTTCAAGAGGCATTTCTTGGAGTTCTAGCGAGAAACCGTGACCAGTAGAGTTCAACCAGGTTTGTTGAGATATCAACTCGCTGAAGACAATGGTGTATGGCGACGTAACTTCTTGGATTGGTTGGATTTAGACATCAACAGCGCTGGATGACGGCCGGCTCAGTGGTGTAGTTGGTTAAGCGCGTGGCGCGAGACTGATAGTTCCTGGGTTCGAATCTCGCGGAGGGTGGGATCGTGGATGCGCATTGCTGAGTGCCATACTAGGACGAAACGGTTTTCCAGTGCTTCCAGGTTTTCCATGGTGGTCTAACTTCAATTGACTCATGATTTCAACCAGTGAAACATAAAATCAGTCAGTAACAACATAGAACTTCGTACGTACGTACATCAGATAGAATTGCCACACCACATTAGCACAGAGATACAGTGGTCAATTCAAATCCCGTAGTGCTAGATGTAGTAAAACTATAAGCTGTAATCAGAAAAATTAGGGCTTGAAGATGTTATTCAGGGAGTATAATTCAGTGAAATAAATTTGGAAAGAGAAAAAAGAAAGGGACATGAAGAATTCAGAAGATTAGAATTTGGGCGAACACAAAGAGTGGATGCACCTGCGCCATTGCAAACGATTTTGAGCCATGTCATTCAGGGTCTCTAACCACCGGTTGCTATCATCTCGCGGTTCCCAACCAGGTAGTCTACACCAACCAATATGACTCAGTCTACTTGTCAGTGACTTCATGGATTTGTGCCATGTTTTGGTCTGGCCGTCCCTAGCTTTTTTCCAATCTACTCCTGTACAACAAAACATCGCACATCGGTCAGTCGGTGGTTGGGCATACGTAATATATGTTCCAGTCATCTCAACTGATGAAGTTTCACTACGTCATCAATTGATTTGCCATCCTTACCTAGTACCCGTTCCCTAATAACTGCGTTACTTATCTAGTGGTCCCAGGATATACTAGCAATATTTCGAAGACACCTATGATCAAATACTAGTAACCTACGAATAGGAAGGATTTGAATGTGACCAACTTGGTCTCGTGCGCTGTTACGGGTATGAGGGCTGATATCACTTCCCGGCTGCCCACACCATGGAAGGGTATTTACTGAGGAACCTGAAAAGGAAATTGGATTAGTGTTGGTCTTAATGACCTGGGAGCGTGACCGAAGAGCCCAAGGGACAACTGCTTGAGGCCGGTCGCGCACGGCCTTTTTGTGGGAGGTTTTTGACGTATTAGCTCCGTTCTTCAAAGGGTTTTACCGCCGGAGACGAAAATCCGTGAGGTAAGGTGAGGTGTGACATTTTTAGGGTCGACCTTTTCTAACCCCACCCGTCCTTGTGGGAAGGCAGCATCGCTGCAGATGCTAGTTGTCTGATGGAAACACCTTAATGATGTCACACCCCTCTATAGTCAGCAGTACGACTCCGCCCTCAGACCTTGAGTTGCTGCTTTTAGTCTTACCGTTCTCCAATCGACCTGCCTGGCATGGTAGAAGCTACGGAAACATATGTCCAAGCCAATATAGCTCGGTTGGGTCATCACGATAGGCAAGCCCGACCACCGCGTCAAGGTAGCAGCTTCGGTCGGGGAAACATAAAACTGTCAGAAATGACCAATTATGTACGTGAGAGTATAAGTTTACTCAGTTTAGGAAACTCAATGCAATCTTTGGAACCAACTCGACAATATTAGTTACTTAAATGAGTTGTAAGGGAAGACCTAAGTTTAAAAAAACTAAGCAAAATAACAATTAGCTGATCATCATTTCTCAAGTCAACCAGAAAGTTATCAAATTGGCTTCTATTTTTTCATACTATGATTGTTCATAACCGATGAAAACACCCCAAAATTCCTTATCTTATGTAGGGTATATGTTGTATAAATTCTTACTTCTGGGGTCACATCTTAGATCTATGTATCTGTTTTTTTTATTTCTAAACATAATCTGAGGGGTTGAAGAGTAATACGAGAGATGAAAATTAGAACTCCTGATGTCTTGTTTTAATTATTAATTACTTATTTAAACACATCAACATTGGTACGGAGGGGGATCAATATAAATATACTCCACACAAATCATCGAACTTTTGTGTTGTGGGATAACGCTCAGGCGCCCAAACCGAAACAGGTGATTTTCTTAGGAGACCACACCCCGAGTATTTGACTTAAAGATCTGATTCATAAGGCAGTAAAGCAACTTTAGGAGTTGTAGTCCCATGGTAATCGGTGACCAAGAATAGGTTAATACGCCATTTGTCCCCTCAGGATCCTGGAGCCCATGTGCATCATTGATTTGGAATCAAGATTTTCCAACTCTACTAAATGGACCCTCCGTACCTACTAACCCGGTTAAAGAGCCGGACATTTGCTTTTCGTCCACTGGATTCTGTAAACAACATCCCCGTCACGAGAAGGTAGAGGGTAAAACTTCTATTGCAGTGACTAGATGAGAGTATTTAAACAGGGAGAGCGAACATTCCTCAACCTCGGCTGCACCAGGACATTTGGAGGCACGTTGGTAAAAAAAATAGATGTGATACAAAATTTTGAGAAGTTTACGATGAACTGTCTATATATTTCCTTCGACCTTAAATCAAAGAAAATGACTCTCGTTGTGTAATTGAAGGGAGTTATGATTTAGTTCAACTGACTTCAAGTTTTCAAGCAAAATCATTTGAAGAATTGTTTCTCACTAAAATTGAAACCTTTGCCAAGAAAACATAAACAAGGAATGAAGCACACATAGGTTAATTAGATTTGAGTATTCTGACTGAGTCGGATTTTGTTCAACGGTTTGATGAATGTTTAGAAGACTGGTGATGCATAAAGACGTAGATTAGTAAGGGGTAGAAACTAATCTGATTACATGTAAAGAGTTAATAAACTTTATCGGATTAAAAACACTCATAACTGCTAATGACAAACCGTGTTTATTAAGTTTTAATTACTTACCACTTGGAACCACTGAACTCGTCTCAGATGCTGTTGTAGTAACAACCAGACTTCCATCTGCATTATAACGCTTCGGAATAGCAAGACTCACTCGAATCGGTTTATAGCCTAAACCACAATAATTTTGCATTTCAATCAACGCTTTATCCATATCAGATTCAGTGAGGAAACGAACAAAACCGTATCCACGAGACTTGCCATTTGTCATCACAACTATTAATTACAATGATTAATAAGAACACACTTCTACAATGATAGTTACCTTTAGCTGAACGGCATGTTGGGTATTTTTTAAAAGCATTGAATAAAGCAAGATCATCAACATCTTCTGTTAGTTCACCAACAAATAACGAACATTCATTACTAAAAGGATTAATATTATCCAATAGATCCATACCTAGAAGTGCTATCTTTCCCGTAACTAGCGTGATTAAGTTTAAATCTTCTGGTCTATAAAAAAATCAAAGTAATCAAATAAATTTAAAATGTTCTCATCCACAAAAAACGGGTTACAACATGAAGTTAGTTTTCATTACAGAGTGACATCAAACCCAGATCAACAGTGAGAACTAGGAAAGACTGGGCAGTTGTATCGTCCTAGTTCGGGACTTCTTATTGACTTATACCACAACAAACCCACAGCTTTCAGGTTTTATCAGGAGTACAACAATTTTAGACCAGCAATGTGTAGGGACACAGTGGTTCACACTTGCAATTGAAATAACCTTAAGATACTGCGCGATTATAACTATTAATTGCAACGTGATATCTGTCACACCCGATAAGACTGAACTCAGTAAGTAACAAGTATATTATCGTAGACCACGGCCCAAAAATTAACGCATTCAACGCAAGTTATAGGCTGACAGTTTAAACCGAGTGGAGTAGTCGGCGAGCACTGCTGAATAATCTCAGTGTTAAATGCTACCTGGTTTTTAATGGTTCTCTAACCGATACCAAACTGTAGTAAAAGCTAGCTTCAAATTCAATAATCCACCATCCTAGTGAAACACAACGATTCTTCTAAAAAGATAACAATTATATTGTGATTTTTAAAGGCGATGTAAATAAATCACTTTAATAAAAATTATACTGACTTTACTAAACTTTCTTAGTTGTATTTTTGACTGAACGACATCTTACATTTTTTTTACTTATTTATCGATCTCTATTTTATTATTTTCATTGTGCTTCCATTCCTTCCTCTATTTCTTCAAACTCTATCATTTTTCCATTGTGGTGCCCGACAGTACAAGAATTTATATGTAGTAAGGATAAAACATTAACTTTACAAACATCTTAGAAATTCTTCAAATAACTATTATCTGCCGTTAAGATTAGCCAGAAGGATTTGATGTGACAGGTTTATGAAAAGACACCATGAAATTAAGGACAAATGTACGATGAAAATGTCCACTGATATATTAGTAGTAGTTCCAATAATATTGAAACTTAGCGGTTGTTAAGAACAACTTGAAGTCTAACTCAGCATAATATATGCATTCATCCTTATTACTTTGGTCTAATAAATTAACAATTTATTATATGAACTTGATACATCTCATGATATTTCGTTGATCTATTCTGATTTTTTTCTACATAAAATGATAGTGATTTCTAAATAGCTTGAAATAGTGCAATGCTATGCCTGATACTACTTGAGTGAAACGGTCGGTTTATAGGTGAGGTGAATTAAAATGAGCCTTAAGTAGAACATTAGCAAAACAATGTACCCGGAGATAAAAAAAACGTCAACCCATTGAAATCCCAGGTAGCGAAGATGAAAAATTAATAGTTCTGCTTTATTCAGATCACCAGGGAAATTTGTATAATGAGCAGAAACTAATATGATGACAATAGTGCTGAAGCTAGAAAAGCAAATGAATTACTTTTGGTCGTTCATCCATGTCAAATCCTATGACAACCCTATTAGATTAATATCATCCACTCATTAGATCACGCAAAAACCAACGAAATAAAACCGAATGAAAATCCACTGTTGAAATTCCAAAGATGAATGACGACCCGCAGCATATTTGCGTGAGAACTTGGTTGAAGACCTATCTTAGCATACCCTACGGTTGTTTAACTTCATAAATGTTAGTATAGAGTCACTATTTCTTATCCTTAAACGATATCAAAGTGGATAACGACCTCATAAAATCATATTGGAAAGAGATAATTCAAGGCGCTTAGTGAAAAATTCAGTCAAAAACGTACAATTTTGCATGCATATAGTATAAATGTTTGATCATCATGGGGGAATAATCAATTAACTAATTTAAGTATTCATTGGAATTACGAATTTCTCGTGTATATAGAGCAGAAAATAATTTATTGATAAATATGAGCACAATCTTTTCTTGAGACATATTTAATGAACTAATAGTTCTTGATGAAAATCAGTGCTATATGCTCAAGAATCTTTGTACTTACAGTACAGTAACATAAATGTGATACGACCGAAAGGATTATGATGAAGACGTTATGAAACCCAAATAGTCAAACATGAATTGCGATAATGATCAGAATAAAATGTCATTTGACATTTAGACTTTATTTGTCATGACTCAATTTATAGTAAAAAGTCTGCCAACTGAATGCTAACAGTGGTCTACAAAATATTCCAATATGCAGCCTCATGAAATCTAAAACGATTTGTAAATACGTACAGAAACTTTTATTTAGTTTAAAATTAAGATTAAGCGGACGAATAATTCTAATAAAGCTTACAGGGGCTCCAGGAATGAGCTTGCCATTCAACTTCAGCATTGCATCTCTCGCAGATGTTGAGTTAGCAAACTCTATGAAACCATAACCAAGAGTTTGCCCAGTCGCCTTGTTTCGGATAACTTTTACACTCACTATATTTTCACCTGATGTTTCAAAGGCTCGTTTAATAAACATTTCATCCATGTAAGGTTCCAGCTAAAAAAAGGAAAATGAATAAAACCAGACAAAACATACGTCACCCATCCATATTGTATGGGAGAAATTCTGCATATTTTAAGGCAAGTTAGTAGGTATCCTCCTTGAATGTGAACAGGTTTGGTCGAGATTGGATTAGGTTTGAAATTAGTGACAGAAGTTTATTCCAATGACTCCAGAACCTATGAACGGAAATGAGAAAGTATATAACTTAGAAAGCATGTGCCCAAAATGTGATAACTGCAAACAATGTAAAGTTTAAAACAACCAGGCAAAGTTCGTAACCAGATTAAAGAGAGAACCTAGCGTAACTAACCACATAGTGTTCACGTTTTGAGAACTGTTGGTAAAAAAGCGTTGTGTTGACCCAATAATTTCATGAAAAATTCAAAATATTGATGATAGTGTATACTACTTAAATAAACTTGAATGATAATGCAACCATATGCTGTGATTCCAACTATAAACTAAAATGAGGTAATCAGTGAGAAACCTGAAACTTTGTGAAGTATGGCACCACGCCCGAAAGCTAGGTAATGGGGGGTAATGAAACATAACGATGTTGTTAATGACATTAATTTGATCTTGTCTGAGTTAATTTTTACAACGAAATGCCTATGGACCTACTGTCATATTTTCGAATGCTATCCCTGTCAAAGGTATACACTGTTAAATAGATAGAGATATATAACAAAGTTAGTACCGGCACCGACTAACCTAGTTATATGAAATATGGATAGAGGAAATAATCAGGAAACGGCTGGTGTACACTTAAAACTTATAATTTTAATCCAGAAATATTTAGTTAAAGGATTACAAATTATGAAACTCGAATATGCCGTATGAGAACAGACAAAACTCATGGTGGTGTAAAACATAAGTAGGAAGGAACACACTCAACAATGTATGAATGTAGAAAATAACAGCACATTAGTAAACGAATGACATTTATTTTGTATACAATGATAATTATTCGTGAATACAAATTAGGCCCCATGCCACATTACTGGTCTCGGTATAATCGACATGACGATTTGAGTATTGAGGATCGTGTATTAATAATTATAATACTGTTAATTAGTGCTATAGCTGTAATGATTAAAAAATCGTGCTGTCCCAAACATATCTTCATGCAATATTTCGATCCATGGATACATTAAACTTAAAACACTGAATACCAAGACCATATTATTCACCTTTGCGAACATGCCGTAGTCGATGAAACATAACTGAATAATATGATGCGCCTATGACTTACGATGAATGAAATGACCTATGACTGAAGAGAGGAATTAAATGGGGTGCACCTTGGACGTTTTATACTAGTGACCTTAACTTCTACTAGATTTCCAATATCCAATATTATTGTGACGAGCTTGTATAAATTGATTGATTTCTTTGCTCTCGCTTTTTGTTTACTTACGCTTCCAAATACATGGTTATGTCTAATAGATAGTAGTCTAGCTACTCAACTGCGATGTTTTGAGTCTCTGTAGCAGTTATTTGTGGATTTGTATAACTTGTTGTAGAGTGAGTATGTTTGTCACATAATAAGAGAACAAATGTGATAATAAGAGACATAGACAGTATTTTCTGGTTGTGCAGTAGTGATAACTGAGGCAACTAATGATACATGCATTAGGCAGCTGGTCCAAGTGGGGATAAGTAATCCATGGGTCAGAACATGTTTACCAAGTCTCATCTTAAAGCTATTCACTAGGGGGCTGTGGTCATTTCGGCTGTTAGGTAAGTTCATGTGGAGGGGACTCGTAATGGAGAAAGATGAGAGCGTGTCTGAGAGTTCGTTCGTTGATGTGTGACATTTTGCGGGTTGTCTAGATGTACTGATAATACGCTCGCGTTAGGATGGTTTGGTGTACTTGATGTATTGTATAACATTATCGGATCACCCCTTGTTCTCCTGTGGCTCAGTAAGAATAATCCCAGATACTGATGTCTATTCTCGTGAACTCTATTGCTCACTTGGTTGTCCGTCTCTGTACTTGGTCCAAGAGCTTTATGTCACTTGAAGGGAGAGGGCTTAACGACATTGTATGTTTTAAACAATGTTGGGAACAATTCTGGGTTTATCGCGCCAGGAGTTTACTCATAAAGTACCGAGTTGCGTCTGCCTTGACTGCATCCCCTGTGTGATCTGAATTAGTTTCTAGTTCCTCTGTGGCTACGAGCCCGAGATCACGCTCTGAGAAGACAATAGGGAAAAGACCTCTATGGAGAATGTCAGTGCTTTGTGTCAAGTGAGGCAGAATGCTCATGACGTATTGTTTTGATAGGTTTGTAGTGACCTACTTTTATCAAGAGAACGCGATTGATTTAATGGAAACAATTAATATTATAACCAGTTGCACCAGTGATTGTTTTACTGTACTTATTTGTTCAACTGTACTAAAGACATCCATTGTTCTTCCATTCTTTCTTCCGTTGATTGTGACCTTACACGAACTGACGTTTGCTCAGTGATTCCGCTCATACTCCTTTGGCACGATCTCGGTATTCTTTCGATACCACGAGATCACCAACAAATATACTTCGCTACAACCTCCAATTGCCTTCTGATATCTGGTACGTAACCTTCTTGTAGTGGTGATCATATTCAACCGCGAATCGACGCCACGCTACAGGTTGTTTTGACCCATAGTCTACGTCCATTTTCCTACTGTTGTAAGGTCTTTTAAAGCTCAAGTGAATTCTTTTCGTCTTTGATGGACCTCCAGTTCTTTGTGCCGTCTGCATCGATCAGTAACCGCTAGCGCTGATAGTTTAAAAAATAGCTCATTGGCTTCATGTAACACATTCCTGCCCGAAACAATTCAATCTACATCTTGCTAACACTTTCTCTTTGAGCTTATTCGTAGGACCTAGTGTTAGGGTTAGCCCCCAACTGCGTGACTGATCTATACTTATGATTTGTCCAACCTCTAGGTAATGAAAATGTGGTATATTTTTTGCCTTAACAAGCCGGTTTAAATGTTTTGATTGTTTGGATTCCAAAGGTGCTTTTGGTCGGATAACATGAGTCACTCAAACTTCTAAGTCAACTGACACCACATAAACTACACTTCATTTCTTTTGCACTATTCGACCAACTATCCATGTAGGATGTTTGCCATGGTAGTTTAAGGCAGGTACTCATAGTGATATTGGGTCTAACCACACGACCCTCGAAGTCGAACATAAGATAACTGAGAAAATTTACACTCAAGATTCAACACGGATAGAATGTAAAAAGTGATGGACGCGGGAGCAATTTGTCGAAATGGTATGATCTGTCCATGCGGGCGTGGTTACTCCACGTAACCTCTTGAATTCTGTCTGGATATGATTGATTCAGTTCTACCGAGAAATTCCGAGATTGCAGTTGCAAACTTAGTCCCATTGTTGGTGACTAGTATTTCTGAGTGGTTGACACAGTTCTCTGACTGTGCAGCGTGCAGTTGGATCGCTGACCACTTGCCATATGTGTCAACTACCAAAAGATAAGTTTATCCAAGGGGTAAAACAGAAAAGTTCAAGTGTATACGCTACCATGGTGACTGTGGTACTGGTGAAGAGTGCGGTTCTGCACTCCACAGTACTTTTGTCGCTATTGCGCACTTGGTACACGAAAAAAGATGTCTGTCCAGTGGGATATCTAAATGCTGTCAGTACATATAGCTCTGTGCAACTTTTCAAGTATCGCTAGTTGCAGCTTTTTGGGGATTATACAGCGTTCGGTAGTCAGAAATCAGTTGTAAATGATTCAAGGAAATAGCCTGTGCCGGTGAAATCACTGAAGCCCTATGGAGCTGGTCTTTGAAGAACATCTTTATAGGTGGAACTTTTTAACCTAATGTAAGATTGTGTCTCGAGGAGTTCCTTCTCTGACTTCATCTGATGACACTGAAGTGTTTGGAATGGTGTTATAACGTGAAAATAAATGCTGCTGATTAAGGGGGTAGCGTATTATTGATCGGACCAAAGACGCACAAACACGTAGAACGACCTAGGGTTCTGATTGGTCCCGCTTCCCTGTCCAACCCAGCCAGTTAAGTCCAGAACACAAGTTTCAGCCTCGGATATATGAATCATTATATTTCAAACATACTTTGTTTATATACCAGTCAAGCAGACCACAACGTACCATAATATAGAAAATAACATTGTACAATAATGGCCAGTAGGAAAATGACACGTTAAATAAATATTGACCAATAAGATGATACTATTTCGTGTCCAAGGATAGCATTAGGCTTAACAGGATAATTTTTGGGATATTTTCCTGAATATCCCAACAAATGGCATCTGCCACTACACTCCTAATTTTTGGATCCACAGCTATTCAGGGTGTGAGTTTATAGTTAGACAAATGTAAATATTAGTCAGTTGGTTAATGGCAAAAAATATTCGTGTAAGTTAATGGACAATAATATCAAAGAAGTTTTCGATTAGACATGTATAGTTTCACAATAGATTGACCACTGGGTGGTGATCAGTGTCATGTGTGTCAAGTCCTTCTTAGTGCAAATCGAATGCTATCGACCAAGTTGCAATGTGGCCACTAGTCTAGGTGACTTGACATTGCCCGGATAGCCCAGTGGTAACGTCTCTGACTGTGAAGCTGGGTGACATGGGATCGAATCCGTCGGGGAGCACCAGTTCCCTCAATATTATGGGTACACCTTGCTGAAAGAGTGCCAAGCAGCACAAAACCCGTGTCCAGGGTCTCCTGTTGATTACCTACAACCACCACCTTATTTCAGGGTGCGATCCTATCCTCCGGTCCAGGGTGTTGAATTTCAACCAACCCAGAGAGGGCATCAGGTCGACCGGTGGTACTGATACTTGATATTGAAGTTATAACTCAGAAGCACTGTCTCCCAAAGCTATATTATGTTAGCTTCCCTTGGGTTTGTAGTCTATCAGTAGAGTAGACATGTGGCCGCAGAGGATTTTATGGAATCTTTTAACAGCGAAAATGTTTTCCAGGGTAACATTTACAATATGGCCTTAGTTACGTACATACATTAACTGTCAACCAACACCAAGGCCAGGATTTTCAATACAAATGTCAAGACAGTTCTACTGTATGGGGCAGAAACCTGGAGAACTACGAAAGCCAGCATCCAGAAATATACAGGTGTTTATTAACAGTTGTCTACGCAAAATACTTCGGATCTGTTGGCCGGACAAAATTAGCAACAACCTACTGTGGGAGAGAACAAACCAGATCCCAGCGGAGGAAGAAATTAGGAAGAAGCGCTGGAAGTGGATAGGACACACATTGAGGAAAGCATTCGACTGCGTCACAAGACAAGCCCTCACATAGAATCCTCAAGGCCAAAGGAAAAGAGGAAGACCAAAGAACACATTACGCCGAGAAATGGAAATAGACATGAAAAAAATGAACAACAATTAGATGGAACTAGAAAAGAAGGCCCAGAACAGAGTGGGTTGGAGAATGCTGGTCGGCGGCCTATGCTCCATTGGGAGTAACAGGCGTAAGTAAGTAAGTAAGTACGTACATACATCGGTAATCTAATTCTTGTCAGTCACATTTTAGTTATGGGGGTTAAATAAGCCGAATTCAGTAGGATCAAACAATGTTCAACTGTTTCAAAAGACTAATTTATTGACGACTTCCAATAAAGCTGTTTATCAAATTCTTTACCTGGGACAAGAAACAGTGAGTGCTTGCTTGAGCGTCTGTAGTGGTACTAGGCTGACTCTAAGGTTTTTAATACAGAGCCATCATCTAAATCACTAGGGTATTTTGGACTGATATCATTGACTTGTTTCTTTCGCATGAAATTAACTTGCAATATGAACAGTACTGTACTGGATTATAGTTAGGGGGTTTCGATATTTGGGAATCACAAGGAGTCTTCTTAGATTCTCCTTTTTTCTTATGTCCAATTACGGTCCTGAAGAATTTCTCTCTGCATCGGTCCCTCAAGTAAATGTTAAGCTATTGAGGGCATAAGATGTATAAAACCGAAAATGAGGTCCGAAATATCTGTCGTCATTAGAAGAATGGGCAGGAGAAAACAGCCTCAAATACCAACATAAAAATGACGAACACTTTGATTTTTGATGTCTGAGAGTGACTGTATACACATGCTCTCGGCGGGCAAGAACTTGGCAGAATGTGAACCTGATTTTGTCTAAGCATAAACTGTAGACAGTAATATTGACTTATGGCAAATTATTCCCATCTATTGTATTCAGCAAGTGTTTCACTAATTTTTGCCCTGATTTACGATGTGTTTATCATCCCGTTTGTTTCTGATTTGATCTTCATATTTTATCGCTGTTTCGCCTGGTTCCTACTATTGTGATTTGAGTTGAAATTCAACTTATACGCAAGCATTTGACAGAATCAGCAAAGGATACACTGTCCCTTACCTTCTC